TTTTAGGCTATTAAACGTCGTATACTACGAGGATTGTACCTATAATTTAATCTCTAACTAACGCCTACGTCTTCGAGGATACTAGTAGGATTAAAAGCCACTAAATAACTATATTCAGCGTTCCGATAGATCTATACTATACTAGCTAAGTCACCGCTTCGATTAAACCGTTATTGAATACGTGCCCTCTAACCGATCTACGGCTGCTTTTCTAGGCTTTTCTTCTTCTTCTGCCACCCGAAAAGCCGTCTATAAATCGACGATACAATATCTAAGCACTATAGAGGGCATCCTGTAGTATCTACGGCTAGGGTATATAGGCCCTGAACCACTTTAGCACCTAGAAGAGTAAACGTAGGGGGTTAAAATTAAAGGACTAATAACTATTAACTATAAGGCCTACGAGCTTATAAAGATAAAGCGGTATATTAGTAGGTACCCTCGTAACGCACCTGCTTCTATAGGGGAGCGGTGGGTGATTAATTTCACGGATTTTAACTAAACGTCCCATAAAGACTCGCGGTTTATATTTTTCACCGACCGTTATAGTGGCTTTACGGCCACCTATGTTATAAAGAGTAAGCTAATAGTGGATATCCTCGTAATAATAAAGGAATTCCTCGCCTAGGTGGACCGCTAGTTAGGCTATAAGGTGCGCGTTTTCGAATCTAGTAACGAGCCAACTTAATCCCACGATATCACCTAATTCCTGCGTGAAGAGGGTATCCTTTTAGAGGCTTCTGCTGCTAATACTTAAGCCTAGAACGGGGGTGCCGAACGCGCTGCTGCCGTGGTTATTTTAAAGGGTCGTACGATAAATATCCACGTAAAACTGCCGCCGTTTATATAGCCTAAGGCTATTCCCACGGCCGTGTACGCCTATAACCGAACGCTATAAAGGTAGTATAATAATAAGGATTAGAAAACGCTATACGAGGTCCTTTTTAAAAAGAAGCCGATTTTATTACACCTTTGAGCCTACGGCTATAAGGCGTACGCGATGATAAAGGACGCCTAAAAGGCGGCTAATAAGCTGTTAAATCGTATCGCTCCACGCGTATATATCGGCTACCTTATCGGCTACGATTCCACTAATATCTTCCGTATCTAGGTACCTGGTCTGTGCCGCTATAACCGCGTTATTCGAACGCGCGATATGGATTTTAACGAACGCGCCTTTTTCAACGGCGATATCGCCACCTTTAAGAATAACCTCCGTTAATTAACCGAGGAGTAATTAGAAGACCTGATTAGTTAGATCGAGTAGGAGAGGGCTAGAGATTCACGGCCGTTTACGGACGTATAAGCTAAGGACCCCCCCCCTTTATATAACTACTTATTTTAAATTATTAGATCCGGGGATAAACGCCCCCGGATCCCCTTCCTCGACGGCTTTACTATTAAGGTTATAGTCCGTAATACCCGGCCGTAAGGGGGTAGAGGAGGCTATCTCGAGTTAATTAGGATAAGATATAGGTCACGAATAGTATAATTTAGCCGGTATAGCGCCTAATTACCGTCTATATCCGCCTAATCTATTACTTCCTACTCTACTAATAACCCCGCTGTCGGTTATAGCGCTAATAGCAGCCGTTATATTAGGAAACCGTGATACCCCTATGGCCGTAGGGTTCTAGGATAACGGAACACGGTGCTACGATACCCCTAGGGCTACGGCTATAGGGCTGCTATTAAATAAAGGAGCGTAACTAATTCGGTAAAGAGATAGCTAGAAAAGAGACTATTAGGTTATAGTATTTAACGCTGGCCGTTACGTACCTAATATATATATATTAAATAGAACTCCGCTAACTAAATTACGGTTAAAAAGGTCTATGCCTATAGCGTTATAGCGACGCTTAGTAATACCCCGCGAATCCACGGCCTTAGCGGCAGCTACCGGAAGTATATCCCGGGAGGCTATCTCGGGAAATATAACCCTAGCGGTTACTTCGGCGGTTGCTCTGGCGGTTACCCCGGCGGCTATAAAGATCCACCGTAAAGACCTCCCTCCTCCTCCGAAGAACCCTCGCGATATACCCTTATACCCTTATAGCCACCTATTCTGATAGATATAAGAAGACTACCTACGGAGCCACGAGGAGATAGGGTCGTGAATACGGGTGCCGGCGTCCGTAGCAGATAGATATCAGGTTCTTAATTCGATATAGGTAATAATATATAAGTTCGATAAGTATAGATTTCTATATAAATATAAGGTAAGGCTTATAGTGCGAGGAGATTAGTAGTATTAATCCTCGCTCGAGGAGACGTACGTAGTAATACTGGCCGGACGGTTATTCCGCGCGTTAATAGCTATCGCCGCCCGATTTAACCTTACACTGTTATAATTTAACGTTATAAACGCGTTTATACACGCGACCCTCCCCTACGATATCTTTATATACCCGCCGCTAGGCTTTCTAGCCCCTAGGAGTTATTTACACCTAAAAAAGGCGTTATATAGACTTAAGGAGTCTCTACTACTTTAGTAAAAGCACTTCTCGGCTATCCTTTTAGCGGACGGCTTCTAGATAATACCGTAAGAACCGTGTTATTTTCTGTGCCGCGGTTTAATCCTATTCTTCTACGTTAACGATATCGTTATTACTTATAAGGAATAATATAAGGCGTAGATAGAGCAGGCCGTTAATAACCTATAACGCCACTATAACCTATAAGGTGGCGATCCTCTATAGTGGTTCCTTAGTATTAAGGTTATTCGCGACCGTATCGCCCGTAAAATCTAGCTATTATAACGCGACTACGTTACTAAGTTAGAACGCCTATTAAAGCCGAATAGTAAGTATAGTAGTAACTATCGCCTAACGCACCTAATTAAGGTTATAGAGCTACTGCCCTATTTAGGGACCTCGACTAATATTAAAAGCTATTAACGGAAGATAGGATCTATACTATACGTAGTAGTGATATCGCGGCCTAATATCGCGTTTACAGTATCTAGGCTATCCCGGTTTAACGTTAATCCAGGGCCTATTCACTATAAGGCCGCCGATTATCTAATCCTCTATCTAATTAATAGCTAATCGTTTACGTTAGAACTAGGGGGTGGCGATACTATCGAAATCTACACTAACGCCTCGTTTACTAATAATACCCTCGATCGAAAGAGTAGTTAAGCGTACGTGATATGCTTATTTAGTGGTATAATAGCGTGGCGCGCTAATAAGCAGGATACGGTCACGACGTCTATAACGGAAGTAGAGCTATTAGCGTTAGTATAAGGTGTAAAAGAGGGTATCTTTATATAACGCCTATTACTTAGTATAGGAGTGGAATTTAACGATCCGGAATTAAGGATCTTATACGATAATAACTAAACGATTCGATTAGTTAATTAAGAGATCAGCATATTAATAACGCGCCTCCGCTACGTCGATATCCACGGCTACTAGTTACGTTAAGTAAAGGAATCAGGGTAAATACTCGTAACGTACGTTACGAGCGCGGAAATAATAGTAAACGGATTAACGAAGGCGTTATACGGCGAGAAATTTAAGATATTCAGGTCCTAGGTAGGCGTGATGGATATACGGGAACGGTTATAGCAGAAATAGCTAGAGGAAGTCCGGATAGAATATTTAGAGGACCTAGAGGATGAATTTAAGGGCGGCTACAGCGAATAGATTATATAGCTGGATTATCTACCGATTACGAATAGCTTTAATCGCCTAACTAACGTTTAGGGCGATTAGGGGGTGTGTCGAATAGACTATAGTCTTTTCGGTTACGTAATAGGCCGGATTACTAAGAGTATAATCCGGGTAGACGCTTATAGAATCTGCACTATATAAAATAGGGTGGCAGCGTTTCCCTAACGGTCTAAGATAGTTATAAGAGTATATAATTGCCTTAATCAATTTTGACCTATTTTTACGACGATTTTGACTACGCTTTATCTAATATCTGCTACTCTATTAGTAACCGGAGACTTACGACCACGAACGAAGGCATAAAGCTAAGGGACCGGAGTACTTATATTAGGTTTTAGGGCGGTACTTTTCTTTATAATACTAGTAGGTTTAGTTAAAGTACTCGAAGTATTAATAACCTTAATACTAGACGAATAGGTGGAAGGAGCCTAAAATAACGCCTACTATTAGCATCTATCTAAAGAATTAGAGCTTCGGTAACTTACTATAGCGCTTTTAGTAAGGGAATAAAGGCTATCTGACGGAAAAAAGGAAGAAAAATAGTTAAAAAATAAGTAAGGCACGAAAATAACTAAAAATCGTTAAAAAAGGATCGTGGTTATAAGAGGGAAAAGAAGGCTACGAAGAGCCTAAAAACCCTCTTATTTATATCCGGCACCTCCCCTATCTACTAATTACTTTAAATAGCACTTTCCTTTATTATTTGCTACTATTATTATTATTCTTTTTTATTTTATAGCTTCCTTACCTGCCTTTTAACTCGACTTTAAAGGATACGTAACTGCTCTTTGAAGCTATTGTAAGATTAACTATAAGGCTCCGGCGAGGTTAGGCTAAGTAATTACTAAGCTAATTAGGGTATAGTAATTAGGGGGTGTGTCGTATTAAAAATATATAAGCCTGTTTTCTGTGTTTCTATTAGCTGGATTAGCCCTATATTCCTCGCGTGGAAAAGGGGTAGATATATTTAGAATACCTATACCTTCCTATTCTTCTTTCCTTTATGTAACGAATACAATCATACATCTATTGAATCTTTGCTCCGGCCGGATCACACGCCCGTCAATCCAATAATAACCCCCCCCCCCCCCCCCTAGGTAGGTATTTTCTTCGTTTTCCCGATAGGGACGATAACCCGATAACCACACAAAAAAGAGGGTAAAGGGAGGGAAGGGGAAAGCAAAGGCAAAGACAAAGGGAATAATGATGACAATGAAGAAACAATGCATTATTTTTGAGGGCATACGTAGAACATTATACACTATTATATGATTACATCTATATCTGTAATGGAATGTACACGATACACTCTCGTGCACGTGCTTACCCTCGTCTCTCGCTCTCACTTCTCCCCACCACGGATTTCGTTTTGCAGATGCTCATGAGCCAGCCTGCATTCCCCCGCAACCAATGACAAGAATGTCATGCCAACCTGGTGACGCTGTAGGATGCAGTAGTGGAGCTGCATCATGCATGCAAGCACTTCAACCCGTCAATCCCGGGGACCACGGGGACACTCGGCAGGGTTCCGTTCCGTGAGGTTCCGTGATCACAGGAGACGGCGGCCACCGGGGGACGACATGATTTGCATCCGCCTCCTCCTCCTCCTCCTCCTCCACCTGCAAGGTCCCTTCTCACAATCGGGGATGGTGATGGTGCGGTCTTCCTCAACAGAAACGACCTCGTCGTACGCGGCAAGAGATACGACGGTGTGCGAATGAGAGCGGACAAGGACACCGTAGGGGCTTGTCGTCCAGCGGTCGAGTTCCTCCACATCGCCTTCAGCGCATATCTTTCCTATGTAAGCGTCGATGTCGACGCCCTTATTTCTTGGTTAGCCTGAGGGTATTTCTTCCGAGTCCGTCGGGACAGGTATGTACAATACGGCTTCGAGTCGAGATTTGTCAAGAAAATACACATACCTCGACAAGCGTTACGATGTAGCGGTTGTCTGCGGCTCGTGCAAGGGGAATAGCCGCTAGAAGGAAGAGTACGAGGTAGGAGATGAACCCTCTGAGCTGCATGGCTACGGATGGTGAATGGTGCTGGCGCCTTGGATCGTATGAAGCTGGCCTTCTGATGGTTTATAGTTTATGTTCCGCAGATGGAGACAACGATGAAATGTCTAAAAGGACGAGACAGCCAGAGAAGAAGGATGTGGCTACCAGAAAGCGAGCTCATCTCGTTCTTATATCAAAAAAATAATCGAGGCTTGTCTTACTCGGTGAGACATTGGGACGTTGGGTCCTTATTATTGTCCTCCCTCGAATGGGCCTCGCCACGGACGTGTTCGTGTTTGTTTGTGTGTTTGTGCACTGTTGGATCGTGGCTCGACTCAACCGTGCGGTCTTACCTGAGCTCACCGCCAGCAAGGGACCACTCAATCTACAATGAAAGGCCCGTGGTTTATTGCAACCTCACCTCCCGTCCCGTACGTGCACTTTCCCTCACGGCCTCCAGAATCCTCAACACCTCCCTTGCCTCGGTAGCCTTCACAGGGATGTTCTCCTCCCTCCCCGACTGGAGCGCCCTCGCCAACTGTTCAAAAAACTCGATGTACGTAGCTGGCGGCTTCGAGGTCTCGAACGGAACCTCCCGGATCGTAGTCCCGTCGTCACCAGCCTGCAGCAGCCGGGGCTTCCATGCCTCGTCGATACCGAACCCGGGATCCGAAGGCTTCATACCGCGCCGGAGTTGGTCCTCCTGCGGATCCAGCCCCGAGATGCGGAGTGAACCTTTTGTCCCACGCAGCCAAAATCGCGGCTGCGGGTCCTCGACGCTCATGAACCCGGCACGTACCGTGACGACAGTGCCATCCGCGTAGCTCAGCACGGCATGCACCCCATCCGGCTCCCCCCCTTCTCCCTCTCCCTCTGCCGCCGCCGTACCATCCCCACCAAAGAGCTTCCCCTCGCGCTGCCCGACCAACCTCCCATACACAGCCCGGGGCAACCCAAAAAGACAATACGCCTGATCAACAAGGTGACTGCCAAGGTCATACAAAATCCCACCCCCCCGCTCCATCGGCAACGAACCCTTCCACGAGGCGGCGGCGGGTTTCTGCGGCCGGAACCGGTCGAAATGCGTATCCAGCTCCACGGCGCGACCCAGCCTTCCTTCCGCGAGGAGCGACCGCAGCGCCAGGAAGTCGGCGTCCCACCGCCGGTTCTGGTACACGCAGATCAGACGGCCGACGCGGCGCGCGAGGGCGATGAGCCGGTCCGCGTCCGCGACGGAGGGGACGAAGGGTTTCTCGACCAGGACGTGCTTGCCTGCTTCCAGACACCGGGTGGCGAGGCCCAGGTGCGTGTCGGGCGGGGTGAGGATGGCGACTAGGTCGACGTCCGGGTCGGAAAGCATCGGTTCCGGCGACGTGTGGTGCTTAACGGTTGGATAGTCGCGGGGCGCCGAGTCGGGGCCTTTGTCCGGGTTGCGTTGGATGATGGTGTGGAGGTTGAACTGGGGGATGTGGTTGAAGAAAGGAATGTGGAAGACTTTGGCGGAGAGGCTATAATAGATGCCCACGTCAGTGAGAGACGGAGGCAATTCTCCTGAGACATGATCAGAGGCACCTACCCATAGCCTATAACGGCCACATTGAACTTTGTGCCGGAGTCTGTTGCCATTTTGACGGGACAAACAAGGATATACCTCGCGTGAGATTCAGAAGGGAGGATGACAATAGTCGACTTTGGGGTGTAAGATGTACCGAGGAGATTGTTCTCAGTTGAGTTCGAGAGAACAAGAACAATCACTGAGGGGCAAATTCCCAGACCTGGACAGCGGGGTAAGTTGTCATTACAACGCACAACGTACCTCTGTACGAAGTACTACGTACGAATGGGCAGCCTGTAATTATGGATGGATACTTTCGTACTTGATGAGTCGGACCGAATGAATTTGATCGACTCCCCCTTTCCTGCCGCTGCCGCTCAACAGCTCGGTGAGTGGGGCGTCCAGACCGAGGGACGTCTTGCAATGAGACAAAGGTCTTGTGAATACCTAGGAGATAAAGACAGAAAAATAGCTCCCCAGTCGCCCAAGTCTCCCATGTCCGCCGGGTGGGTATGAAAAGAATACAAAAACATCTAACGAATGCCCATATCCCGAACGTTCCGCGGTGACCCATCCATCATGCCTCTGTTCGCTCTAAACCCCGTAGAAACCCCCAGTCCAAGTGCTTCCCAAACCAAGTCATGAGCCAAAAAAAAAAAAAAAAAAAAAAATGAAGAGGAATCGCGACGCCATGCTCTCCGTACCATAACACAAACGGAGTCAAACCCACACCCTTCTTCCGAGACGACAGTGACCCACCACCCTTCACACCCAGAATTTAGACCAAGCGTTCAACACCGACCGCACAATGAGACCAAACGCCGCGATCACCACGAAAATCTGCGTAAACTCGAACCAGTGCTTCGTGCGCACCTCCGTCTCGATGTAGTCCGCCGCCGCCGCCTTGTCGTTCTCCAGCGGCGGGAACCGGCCCGTCGACATGTACGTCTCCATCAGCGCATCCTTCTCGTACCACCGCTCGCGGAGCCAGGCGTCGAACTCGGCCTGGTCCTCCAGCGGGATCTCGTCCATCCGGAACCTCCGCCAGTGGAAGTTGACCGACTTGGGGGGCCTCCCCTGGAAATACGTGCTGGACAGGGTGAAGTACTGTTCGCCATATTTACCGCGCCTGCAGGTATTCGTCCGGTTAGCGACATGATAAGTGCCAATGCAGCTAGCCAACTTTGCAGAGTCATATTGGGGGAGACAAGGTGGGGGGGATGGAACTCACGGGATGCCTTCATAGGCCACGGTGCAGTCGTAGATATAATCCATGGTGCCCTTCAATTCCCGAAGGCAAAAGTAGATGCCTGTGCTCCGCGGAAGCATGACGTGCTCCGGGTCGCGGAGTCCCGACTTGGCTGCCCAGGCAGCCGACTTGCGACGGCCGTTACCTGACAGGTTGGTGCCCTCGGGGAAGAGTAGTAACCACACGGGGTCGAGATACTTCTTCCCGTGCGCGCCGGTACGGGGGATCTTCAGCTTGTTCAGCCGATACGCCAGTCGTGGCTGGTCCGTGGCCATCTTGCGCGACATGAAAATGAAGCCGTAGAACATCATCCCCCAGCCCACGACGGGGATGTACTTGAGCGATTCCTTGAGAATGATGTAGATGTGCCCGTGCATCGAAGGTGAGTTTGCATAGCCTGCCCACCAGAGGTATACCCAGTCGGTGTAGATCTGTTTTGTTTTTCCCGCCGAAGACAGTCAGTTAGCTGCTGCTCGCCATGCCATGTGAAGACAGGAATAGCAAGTACCTGGTGGTTGGCAATCATGACCATGCGCTCGGGGAAATTAAATTGCACGAGGCCGTCCGGCGTCTTCGTTATCTGGCCGGCCACTGAGGCATCCCCGCTGATACGGACCGTGGTCGGCCCCCACCACTGGGTCATGGTGATGATGGTCAGCGCAAAGGACTGCTTCGTCAGGGCAATATAGGCGTAGAACATCTCGCGGTTGATCCAGTAGAGAGGAGCACCGAGGACTTGTGTTGCAAAAATACTGTGGGCAAGTAGAGGGCATTGTCAGACAGCTCAAACAATTCTCTTAAAGACCAAGAGCCCGGAGCTGCGGGGTCGGGGGAGGACGTACATGACAACACATGTGTTCAAGTAGACCGACAAAGCCAGGCCGCGGAGTATCTGCATCCAGCGGCCATGCCTAACTCGACCGGCTGGATGGGCTTCGATGGGCTTCTTGGTGATCCCGGCGTCCGAGCTCGGCATAGGCATGCCGGCGTCGGGAGGGGCAGGTTCAAGCTTGTCGGTCGTCATGATGGCGGTTCAAATGCCGACCAAGAGATAAAAGTATGGTTCTAGCGATGGCGAAAGCTAGCAAAACAGGTAGGTATACGGATACGGGTGTGGTCGGCCGAAAAGAAGAGGCGGTGTCGTGGAGAACGAACGATGGTCGGAGCGGGCGAGGGGTCTAGGAGATGTAGCTCTTGGGGAGAAAAGGTCGAAGCAGCTGACCATGTGGAAACGAGAGCTCGAGGAGAAGGAGTTCGAAGAAGACGAGATAACCCCAGTTGATGTCTCGCTGAGGTTGGACCTGCTGGATGAAGGTTTTCGCGTGGGGGTTTTCGAGCTTTTGTAGTTTGGCTGGTGCCTGCTGCTGCTGCTGCTGCTGCTGCCAAGGTAGGACGAGGGCACACGTCTCCTTGAGGCCCGTCTCTTCCGTTGCTTATCCGTGGTCCTACCGAGAGCGAAACCAAATCGACTCTACCGTCGCCATGGACCAGGCTACAATATCTTGCTGAGGTTGACACTGGGGTCGAGGTAGTCCGACCGAGGTTTCCGGATGGCGCAAGATTCGAATTGTGGGAGAGGTGGACGCCTGGAGGGCGACCTTGGTTCGGTTCGGGGCCGAGGACGGAGGGTGCCACGAGTGCCAGCTGGTCTGGAGGTACAAAGGTGATGACCTCAGCTGTGTGACCGTCAGGTCTCATCGGTCGGGTCAGGCACGTAACCTGAAGTACCGGTACCTTCCTACCTTATTCGTACTCTGTGTCCGTACGTTGTACAACGTGTGGGTACCACCTGAAGATAAGTGGGGCTACCCCTTTCACTTACCTTAGGTAGGTACGAAGACGCATCGTGTGACCTCGTTGACAAGACCTGGACCAGAGCTCCGAGTCGAGCAAATGGTATCTGTATCGGATTAATACTCAGTAGGAAACCTACAGAGGACGTTTGATACATTCATGCTTTACGGTCCAGCTGGGAACCGACGGCTCCCATATTCGCAGGTCAGCGCTCCTTCTCTTGTCCATAGGTCGCGATGGGTCAACTCCCAGCATGTGTCAGAACAGGTGCCAGAAACAAACCCTTTCAACAATACGTCGCTGTTATAATTTCCAGTGTAGTAACCTCACGATGGCCATACACAACATTCAACGGGGGTGATGGTCTTCATGGCTGGCGGTTGGGATCACACGACTGTTCATCGCCACAAACCACCTGACCTAGTAAGCCAAGACGAAGCGAACCTCGCATCTATCACCACTCAACTCGATGACTTTACCATGTTTCTGGCTAGGACTCATCCATAGTCGACAAGGGGAATAAACCCCACTGTAACCCGTTTTCTCTCGTGAATAATTATCCTTCGTTCGTAGGGCATGATTTTGGGGTTTAGTCAATGAAGATGTGCGGGTGGACCTTGACAAGGATAATGAGGGTGGAAAACGGGTTCTGTCTCTCCTGGTTGGAAGCAAATGCAATGATACCCATACAATCCCATTTTATCATTTATTGCCTACCTATTTTAACTGGCGCATTTTATTTTTGGTGGACTAGTATTAGCAAAGTCGGACGCTGTCAAACTCGCTCGCCCAGCCAAGCCAAGACCGCTAAGCCTAAGCTTCAGCTTGAGAGCCAGCCCTATGGATCCCGGCATAAATCAATAACAGCATGTCATCGCCAGCCGATGTCAGCGATCGGGAGCGTGTATTCGAGGATGGTCTGAACCCGGCTTCAAGAGGAACTCCCGTCGCGGGTCGACGATTCGACAAGCCGGAGTAGTACAGCGATACACAAAACCAATTAAGGTATCCAGCTGATAAGGAATATGTAAAAAAACGGGAAAGGCGTCGAAGTTCAGGTACCTCGTGCCTCGCAGCTGGACTGACTTTCAGGTACCAAAACCACATAAACCCTCCCTCCCCAGACTCAGTCGATAGGTATACATCATCGTTTAACAAGGGGCTGTACGTAGAAAGTGGCGTCGCCTTTAGCTTCAATACCCGATAGAGTACTCCGTACCTAACCAGTAACTGGATTCAACCCAATTTAGGTACTCTTAGCAGCTTCTGATCCCGAGGCGGAAAGTCGCGCTTGCCTATTGAGAGAATCCGGCGCGCCCGACTTGCTGGCTGGAATGGACGCTCCGCGTCTTCCGACAAGAGCTTTTTTGCTTTCTTTGGTCATTAAATCACCTCACCTCTACTTATAACATCCTGTGGCAACTTGCACTCCCTCCCCTTCTCATCATCAGATCCTCTCCGTGGACGATATTCCAGCCCCTTTGAAAGAACATGTGCGAGCCATTTCTGTGCTTCAGTCGATAATACCATCGTCATCGCTATTGTCTACGTGGCGAGGAGACCCTCCATCACCTGCCTACTCACATCTCCCCAATCCTCACATTTCTTCCCACTGCTCTCCCCTCTCCAGCTATTCGTCGACTTCAAAAGGAGTGAGAATGCTTAGTTTATCTCTTCTCATCCAATTATCTCTACTGGCTCCGCTTGTCCCCCTTGCGGCTGCTATCACAAGAACCGCGGATGCGCCGACACCAGCACCGACAGCCGATGCGACGGCAGCTGATCTTACCCCCCATGTTCGTAACCCACCTCTTGACCCGACAGCGCCCTGGGTATCAGTCAACAAGAAGGGGACGCCCACTACTGTGACACCCGTCCCGACAACGGTCTCTGGAACCCCTACCATCCTGTCTGGAGCTCCCAACGTGCTTACCGGCACCGTCTTCGCCTACGCCGACTTCCGAGAAGGTAAAGTCGTGACGAGCACCGGCGACCCTCCCCTTGCTACGGCTCGTAACAAAAACGGCCGAGGCGCATACCCGCCATGCAGCAATCATGATGGTCAATTCGCGCCCTTTTGCCTCCCTGCGGCTGGCAGCGAGATCCACCCCGGAAAGACTTACTATGGTACGGCCAGTTGTGGCCCAGGTTCTCCCCTACAGAAGCCGCCCCTGGGGAACGGTGTTGCTAACAAAAGCTGCGCCTTAGTGACATGGGACTGGACCCTTCCGATCCTGAAGTCGAACGTGACGGAGAAGTTCAAGATCAAGATTCTGGGCCATTCACTCAACACGACCACGGAGGAAGTCATACATGAGGTCCTCAACCCGGAACTCAAGTATCTCAGCCCCGTCAAACACGGATTTTTCCCGTGGCAAGTGTCTGGCAAAATCATCCCAAAGGGCCAGGACAACATCACGGTTCGCCTCACGATGCAGCGTTTCCTCGACGACGAGGTTTTCGAAGATGACGACATAGGGGCCGATATCACAGGGCCAACGATTCTAGTGCGTCGCGAGAAAAAGTTGCCGCCCAAGACCTCGTCCGGGAAGTTTCCCGATGGAAAGGAGCTGTACATCGCCCTGCCGAGCGTCTTCGGCTTCATCATCCTCTCCGTCTTTGGCGGTTTGGTCTGGAATCGGAGGCTGCGGCGTATCGGGCTCGGAAACGTCATGAGCACCTCCCGCCACGGTCAGGGCGACCGGACGTCCCGGGCCAAGAAACTGCTGAGACGAATGACGAAGGGGAAGCCGAAGAGGGAAGCCGCCATCAGGGAGGAGGCCGTTCGGTTGATGGCGATGGATAGGAATTCGATGGCTTTGGAGGACTCGGACTCGGACTCGGACTCGGACGACGAGTGGGTTGACCCGCAATATTCCCGGGCAACGTCGACAAAGGTTGAGAGTCGGTGGCTAGAAAGGAAGCAATCTTGAAACGTTCGCCATATAGATTTATGTTGCATGAGAATTGAGAGGTGTATTACATTGCGTGTTTGCTTGTGTCATGGATGTTGCAACAATCCCACTCGAAGCAGTCTTTGTTTTGCGTGACGTTGTCTCGCGACATTCAAGAACAGTCCTCTCATGGGATAAAGAAGCCTTCCAAGATGGACAAGTCCTTCGTTGCTTTATAATAGGCTGGCTACTCCAAGGGCCATGTCGATCACCAGTGTCCTTTGCACAGAATAACGTGCTACTGCCGTACCGAACGTCGGCGCTACTCCGTGGTCTACCAGGCGCTGTGCCAATAACCGTCATCGGCGGAACTTCACAACAGCATCGCCCCTCGTCGGCATAAACAGACTTGCTTGCGGGATTGCTTTCGCCTGAGGACTGCCCTAGTGCCGATAACCTCGATCGACACGAGGAATGAGCGGTATCAACTCGTGTTTCGACCGTCATCCGAAATGGAGGGATAGAAAAGGGCGAGTATACCCAAGATGAACCGTTCAGGGAAAAATATAGAACTGCTTCTGAGATTACTGCGGTTGCGTCGGGAAGCAACATCCGTTCTTTAAGGATCAAGTTGTGTATGGAATCCTTCCCGCTAACACGCGTTGGCAACAGAGCACAAGAGGAGGAATCCCGGAGATTACCGGCGTCGGAACACGAGGTTGTCGATCTCTGAATATGTGCGGCGCGAATCCTTAGTATCAATAAAACAACCCTGGGAGAATGAGACAAGGCTTGTCATAATAATTAGCACACATTCGACGAATGAAGGATCGGCGGATCCAGGGGCTTTGTTGATCTGGATCGGGTCGGGTCGGGTCGAAAGCTGGTTGGGTTGCATGGATGAATGAGAATGTATCAGGTTTAGTTGAGGTGCAGCTAGCATAAAGCAAAAGAGGCAGGCATGTCTCGGTAAGAGATGAACGGAACGAATTACGTGACGAAGAAGAGACGATACACAAAAGTTCGATTGGACCAGTTGCACTTGCGGTCGGTAATCGGAGCATAGTCGGTCATTCGAGACTGTCAAGCACGAGAGGCTTCTCGAGAGTAAAAGTAGCCTCCCCTTAAGGCAGGCCGTGAGGATAACTACCTGTAAGCACTCGCGGCTGTTGAAAGCCATCACACCGAATGCCCGCAGGAGTTAACGGATCTGAATGATTTCAAATGGGGAGGTCAACTCGAGTCGTCTCCGACTCTCCGCACCCCTTCGAGATAGTCCAGGCTCAAGATCGAGTGGTTGCAGTTGAATGCACGAGAAGCATTCCGAAGTAATTTCGCGCAGGCAGTTGCGTGGATGTTTCGGGATTGTGGTGTTCAGGAAAGCCGGGGGGCGTTTCGGGAAAATGATGGCATGGCGCAGGAATTGCGTCGGGGAGTGCTAATGCTAATAATAGATAAATAGTGGGGTGATTTGCAGGCGGGGGTGCACTGTCAGAGGTCAGAGCCTCATAGGGCTAGCTTTGTTTCCTTGGTTGTCCTCCGTACTTCGTACGAATCCATTTGTGAGCAATGCCTCGGGACCTTGTGCCGGACCAATGGAAATCAAACTGATGGTACGCCAGATGCCAAATTGGGCGGATATTGTTAACTGTCCAAGCACGGTCCCAGGGCTGAGCATGATACTTGGATCGCTCCGCGCATCGACGGATACAAGCCCTCTTCTAACCAGTAATCCACATAGCGTGGTCGGGCTGGTGAATCGGCCTTGCTGCCCTCCGAGTCTAAACGGGCAAAAGTGTCATACTGGCCCATAATCACAGCAAGTCACCCAATGTAATACGACTCACGTAAAATCAACCCGAAGGCTTCCTGACGCTGACAAAAGGGGTCGAAGAACTGCGGTATGACCATGGGCTAGGGAACCCGGTAGAAGGCTTGGCCATCCCCTGTCTGGGACGTTTCGATTTCTCGGAGTCTCCTATAAGAATCCCCGGAGAACCTTCCGAGCCGAGAGAGTAATGCCTCGCCGCATCTCCTCCCCGTGCCACGTTCGTATCGATTTTTGCAACGACCCTTGCAAGTGGCGATTCAAACGATCCGACACGCGATGGAAGGGTCAACAGTCTTCGGCGCCGAGGGTCATCCTCTTGTGCAGACCGTGCTCGGCCGAACACGGATGAACGCCGGGTCCCTGACCACTGTCTTCGCGCTGGTCTTGGCTGGTTTTGTCTCGATTAAGATTCTGGTGGCAATCTGGTCGGAATGGAGAAGCCCGTTGAACCGAGTGCCGGGTCCCTGGATAAGCAAATTCACCGGTGCATTCTGGGTTGCGTCGGTCATCCGAGGAACCGCTTTCAGGAAGGCTTTCGAATATAGCCAGACCTTTGGTCCCATCACCAGAGTCGGTATGTCCGCTTCTTCCCCCCACCCCCTTCAACCCGCCCACTCATCCTCGGAAGTTTGTCGCCCGTGGAGCAAAGTCTTCGACTGACTCTCCCATGCGCTCCTCGCAGCACCCGATCATGTCATTGTGTCCGATCGTCGTTCTGTTCACCAGGTTCTCGTAGAGATCGATCTCCGCAAGAGCCAGCTCTACGAGAAGTTCCGTCCGTCCCAGGAGGGAGATTCCCTCTTCACCTTCCTCGACAAGAAGTTGTACCGACAGCGTAGACGGCTCCTGTCGCACGGCTTCAGCGTCAGTTATCTCCGAGGCCTGGAACACTTGCTGAAGAAGTGCGTGAAGTCGCTGGAAGATGTTCTGGACGAGCAATGCCGCCAGAACGGCGGACGCACTACCATGGACGCCTGGAACCTCATGGGCTGCGTCACGGCTGACATCATCGGCGAGACGGCCTTTGGCGGATCCTTCGAGTTGGTCAAGAATGGACAGCATCCCATTCGTCAAAGGTTCTCCGAAAGCCTCAAGCGGGGGACTATGGTAAGTCTGAAATGACCCATAACGTGCAATGGCGCCTGTCTAGTCTCGAGATCGACACGAAGTGCGAGTGCTGACTTGGACCAAAGTATCAACTCATGCCCTTTCTGAAGCACCTCCCCTTCATGCCCCCGTTCCAGGACCCCGAGCTGCGACGGCTCCTGGACGAAGTCATCGAGCGGCGAAGGACGACGGAGGACAAGGTGCCCAAGCAGGACCTGCTCCAAATCTTGCTTGACGCTCATGACCAAGATCCTAAGGGCTTCCCCCTTATCGACGTCGTCTCGGAGATGCTAGTCTTCCTCATCGCCGGCAGCGATACCCCGTCGGGCACGTTAAGTTTTGCCATCATGTTCCTCATGAACCATCCTGAGGTGTACCGCCGAGTGGTGGACGAGGTTCGAGAGGCCTTCCCAGAACCCGACTCCGAGGTAACCGACGAACGAATGGCCGACCTGCCCTACCTGAACGCAATACTCAAGGAGACGTTGAGAGTCATGAATCCTACGGCGTCCGGTAAGAAACCACGCTCTCATGGCTGACCGGCCACCTTATCGTACCATACTGACCCGAATGCAGGACTGGCGCGACAGACAGACGAAGACTTGATCCTTGCTGGCCACCTTATTCCCGCCGGGGTGAGTAATAGTTCATCAATCAATCTGCCCCAGTTGGTTCTCGGTCCCGAAGACTGATCATCCGTGCCATCTAGACGCGTGTGACTGCCAATACCCTAGCTCTGCATTGGGACGAGAACGAGTGGCCCGACCCCATGAAGTTCGTCCCCGAGCGATGGCTGGGAGAGTACAAGGGGATGCAGCATAACGAGAAGGGTGCCTGGTACCCGTTCGCTGCGGGATCGAGAAATTGTATCGGGAAGCAGTGAGTTTTCTCTCCCACGAATTCGAACGAAGCGATGGAGCCCAATGTTAACGGAGAATCAAAAGGTTTGCTTGGACAGAAATGCGGCTGATTCTGGCGTCGCTGCTGCGAAGATATGACTTCCGCCTCATCCCGAATCAGTCAGAAGAGGTCGTTCACTTTATGGTGATGCATCTGAAATCTGGAAAGTATATGGTTGGCATCGAGCCAAGACAGATGAAATAGGTGGAAGATAATCCGTTAAGAAGGCATAGCGTCGGTGTTTTGCGTTCAAGCGTACATCAATTTGGGTGGTTATGAACTTATGATGGCTTTGGGAGGAAAAAGGGTTGGGATCTCGTTGAGTCGTTGTGATACCACAGCATCGTGGGGCGTTGAACTACGATACGTACCTACCTTAGGTACCTTAGGTACCTTAGGTAAGGTACCTTGGCTTTGATCGATTTACTTCGTTACTCCGTACCATCGTGACGGAACTCATTTATTACAGTGCACTTATCCTGACAGGGTTGGTTACATGGGCAATTCCGGTAATTCTACGGTAGATTCTTATTTCCACAGCGTTGTGACGTAGTAGTCCGCAATGTCGTTCACAAGACGAAGTACCTATTAACACAGGATATCATCCCAATTCGGACTAACGCTGTACTAATATGCGTCGTAGCGGCTGATGCTGAACGCCGAAATTTCGAAATTTCGACGCCTCCGAATTCGGCCGAATCTCACCGACCTTCCAACCCTCTTTTCTTTATCAATGCAAAGAAGAGACAAGAAAACAAAAGATGTCTGCTGTCAGGGATAGTTTCCAAGACCTGGAAAAGCAAAGATTGAAGCTGGAAGAGAACATAGCCAAGCTCAGAGAAGGACTACAGCACTGGCGCCAATGGGACGCAGAATACGAGACACTCAAGGAAGAGATCGAGTCGCTCCCCAAACCAGTCAGCCAGAAAGATATCGCGAGAATACGAACCGAGTTCGACGGTCAAGTCATCAACAAGAAGGAGATCGATGAAATATTCGGCCGCATCGGCACAAGGCCTGCCGAGCAGATCGTTAATCTTGTGTCACGACGCATTGACTATGTGACAAAAAACATCGAGACCCTCGAAAAACAGATTCAAACCGCCGAGAACAAGCATGCCGCCGTCTCCATCGTGGCGCACCCTGATTCGAGAGATGAAGACGGCCTCCCCATAACCGAGATCATAGAGGAGCTTGACGATGACGGCAACGTGGTCTCTTCGCGCCTACAAACGCCCGGCGGCTCTGAATCCCAAGTTCGGGAATTGCTGGACAAAGCCGGTATCAAGGGCCTTCCAGATGGAGAAGAAGAACCGTCCGAATCAGAGTCTCCGTCAGCAGCTACCAAGCCATTGGATTCGTCGTCATCGACCACCCAACAGACTTCCTCTCCTCAACCTTCTGCACCCCAATCTCCGCCAGCTCCACCATCTCAACCTTCGTCCGACGCATCGTCAAGCAGTGTATCGGACAAGAAGCCGAAGCCGAAGCCGAAGAAAAAGAGTGTGGCTTTTGCGGAAGGCCCCTCACCAGGCGGAGGCCGAGGCGACGAGCCCGCATCCTCAAGGAAAGGAGTTTTGGTTCCGGAGGATGTCAAGCCGGCTGATGAACCGCCGATTTCCAGAGCAGCCCAACGCGTGGAGAAAATCGTACGATCGGCTAAAGAGCAAGAGGTACTAGCAGAACAGGCACCGATCATTCCAGAAGACGAGTCGGAAGAAGATGCTTTCCTGCGCCGGGAGATGCTGAAATACGGCATGGAAGAGGTCGGCGCCGTGGTGGCAGAACTGACTCTCGAGGAAGGTTCCGGTGACGACGACGACGACGACGACGACGACGGGGGCTTCTACGAGTCGGGTTATTCCGATGAGGAATATCAAGATGACGAAGAAGAGGAAGACAAATACGGCCGCTACACCGGCAGAGTGATTGACGACGAGTACCGCCAGCGGATGGTCGAGTTGGAAGAACGGCTAGGCGTCAAGTCGCAGCTCAGGGATACTCAGCCGGCTAAGGACGATGGCTCAGATGATAGTTCGGATGACAAGACTGAGGGCCTTGGCCGCATCGTCATCAGGCGTGACGACCAACCAGAAGCAGCAGAACCACAAACCAAACCCCCATTGGTGTCGTCCCTGAGCAGCAGCAAACCGACTTCAGCACAGCGGAAAGCACTAGACGGCAAGAAGAATGTACGCTTTGCCGACACCCTGGACATCGCTCCCGACGACGTCGTCCCTGCGAAGCAAGATACCGCGAAACAACCTTCCCGGCCCGAAGTCGACCCCCTGAGCGATGTAGTCGAGCGGACCGGTCCCGCCAAGCAGCCCGAGAGGAAAGCGGATACCCCGCGGAAGACGTCCCGTTTCAAAAAGAGTCTGGCGGATGCCGGGCCCTCCGACCCTCCCGCCATCCCGAAAGGACCCCTGGACGTGCCGGTGCGGTTCCGCGACATGGATCGCCCCCTGGCGCCGTCGGGACCGGAAGGGTGCACCGTGGCCGAGTCCATCGTGGAGAAGGACCTCGTTCCTCCTCCGCAGGATGCAGCTGTCGACTCGGACGAGGAGTTCATCGACCAGGATCTCGCCGAACTGTACCACCGTAAGCGGCGTGATTTCATTCAGAAGCACGGTGGGTTCGTCAAGGAAGAAGAGTCTCCTATTCAACCTCTGGACGAGGGGGAGGGCGGGCAAAAAATGAGCAGGTTCCGAGCTGCGCGTCTTTCTCGGCAGTAATCTGCCTTCTCATCGCTTTTATCCGGCCATGCAGGTATCTCTATATACCCCCTAGACCTCCCGGTGATAGGATAAATTGGACGAAGGTCGTCTTGCCTGTCAACCCAGGCAAAATTGTGATGGCGCAAGGCTTGTGAATTCGCCTCGGGATTGACACGAGCATCTTATGCGTCGCTCCCAGACTGTTTGACTTTCTATCGTCCATTCGTACCAGGCATCGAAGGGATGCTTGGTGTGTCATTAACATCAACCACGACTACAGCTGATATCGGAGTGCTAGTACATTTCTTTTATTCTTCTCGTCTGACGATTCTTGTCCTCGACAAGGGTTTTTGTCATTGACGAGGAGAAAAAGTACACAAAATGGGTTGCGGTATTCGTCTGCTTCTCCATTTTCTCATGCTGCTCCAAGATTAAAACCTGCGGGAAGGGGTTCTCTGGCGCAATACCCGCCGACACTCGACACTCGTCGGCAAGGCGCCGCCATGGTAGAGCGTTTGTAAAGCCCCTGACATTTTTGAGCTACCCAAACCTTTTTTAAGCTCTGATTATTTATGACGTAGAATGTTTTCAATCCTCCACCTGCCTTTTTTTCCTCCTCGAATAATAGCATGCATGCGTCTCCAGGCGTTGCTCGTGATATTTCCCATCGCTTTTTCATCCATGGTTGATAGTGGCCTGGCTAAAATCCATCCCGGTCTGTTCTGCGAGTTGCTTTAGGCGCTTCATGTTCTCCGCCTCCTTCTCCTTCTGCTTCTCCTCCGGGCTCTTCATGTTGTCGTACATCATCTTCTCGGCCATGGCCCGCACTTCGTTGTCCTTGATGGAACTGAGAGAGGTCTCGCCTGGCTCGATCATGGTCACGTCTATCTTGGGGGCGCTGGTGACGACGTGTGGCCACCACTCCATCTCGTTGGCCTTCTTCAGCTGGATGTCCACGATCTTGACGTCACCTTCGGCGGCCATGGACCATGTGGAGTCGTCGACGACGATGGGGTGCGGGAAATCGCCCTAGAGTGAGGGGAAGTGTTAGGCGTGCGCATGAGCGATCTTGAGGATCTAGGGAACGTGGGAGGACATTTACCCACCTGGATAATGGGTTCCTGTCCCTTGACGCCGGCTTTGATGCTTGTCCGGGTGAATTTGATGTCCAAATCCCTGGCCTTCAGGTTGGCGGGCACGGAGAACTCGACACTGATCGATTCTATCTCATTCTGCTTAATGGTGTATGGAAGGGCGGCCTGCTCCTCTTCCTGCTTTCGGCGGGCAGCTTTCTCTTCTTCGGTTTTGGGTTCTCTAAACTCTGCGAGGAGATGACCATTTAGCTTCTATAGCTGGGGAGATGGACATCCAGCCCGTCGGGGAGCAATGGACGCCGTACTTACTCATGTTTCTTGTTTTTGAATAGTACACGTTATATGGGAGTGAGGATGGAGGTATGAAGGAATGTAGAGAAGAAAAGTCCAGGACTAACAAGCACCGAGGGCTGGAATTCGTATGTCGCTGCCACGGGAGGCCGGTTTCTGATTCCTCTCAATGCTGCGTCACATGTAGCGTACTACTTCGTAGGTAGCCCGTGTACGTACCCCTTCCCCAACCCCTACCCCACTCCGACACTTGGCAAAATGTTAAGGCTTAATAATACACTGAAATGACCCCACCAATCCACACGTGTGCACCGCGACCTTACTGGTGGCTCTTAGTAATAATTAACACTTAACAACCTACCTTACCTTAGGTATCCCAAATATCTACCTTAGGTTACGTTTATGCCCCCGACCGAACACGGCTATGCCCAATACCGCTACTCACTGTACAAGAACCAAAAGCTGACTGACATCCCGTCCCGCAAAAGGCATTTGTGCTTCTACAATACCGTCGGGATCGCTGTGGAGACCGGCGGACCCGAGCCGCCGCCGCCGCCGCAGGTCCCGTACACCGGATCGCAGTTCTCGGGAGAGCAGTATGCGTTGCCAGATCCGCATTCTCCAGCCCAACTGCAGCAGTCGCCAAACGCCGAACCCGCACACGTTGCGCCGATAAAGCTGTTGACGCCGCAGATGCCATCTGCCGAGAAGGGCGGTTCATCCGGAACCGGGTCGCATGTGCCCGTACTGCGCGTCGCAAACCAAATGGCCGCAGCAGCTGGGTGCGGAGCCGCACCACCCCCCAGGTGGAACAGCATTCGCCGTAGGCTGTGCCGGTGCAGGTCGTTCCTCCAAAGTCAGCACCGCAGCGGCCATCGGTGGAGGGATTCGACGAGGCTGATGGAGCTGTGGAGCTCGAGGATAATGTCGGACTGTACGACGACGGCGACGACGCTCCGTAGGAGACAGCACAATTTCCCTGGTGAATGTGGACGTGGAAATATACTCCATGGTGGTTGCCAAAATGACGGTGTTGCCAGGGCCCCACGGCTCGGGCGTATAAAGTGGCACTGACGCCGTGTATGTCCAGGTTTCCACCCAAGGCCGGCTCGGAAGACTGGGCGTGGCGCTGACCATCTGGCGCTTGCGCACTGGCGGAGAATCTATCTCCAAGGCTCGTTTCTTCGCCGGTATCCATATCACTCCGAAATCATACCCTACAATGTGACAGGAGAGCTTCCCCCCCCCCCCCGGCGGCAGATATGATTGCTCGCTCGACACAACCCGACCTCATAATGAATGGCAAATTGAAGTAGGCGATCGCGTAATACGTCGAGTTGCGGTCGAACCAGGTCCAGCCAGTCAGCGCTCCGCAGCCACTCTGTTAGTCTGTTCCGATTTCAGGCGACTGCCGCCGTCTGTGCTCCATCCGTCGATGTTGTACACTTGGAATGTGTACATGAACCCCCCCGAGACCCTGTCCGCCACTTGTGTCAGCTTTTTCACCAGTGTTTCTTTGCGGAAGAAGAAGAAGAAGAAGTGGGAAGGCTTTACCAGTAAGCACAGTCGGCCGTCGCAGTCGGCTGTACCACCACGGTTGTACTCGTGACGACGAGGTCGAGGTAACGACGACCGTCTCCGAGAAACCAAATTGTGTAAGGGTAAATTTTGACCCGTCGTAGCCAGCTGGATCGGTTGGGTAGAATTGCAAGGGGATTGTCGTCCCACTAATCACGGTCTGGTCTTCTGTCATATCAGCAGACAAGGCCGCCTCGACGTCCCGGTCCAACGTGCATTCCGGACTACCGGGCGTCGTGGTGGTTCTGGTATCTTGCCCATTGCAAGTAGTGCTCGTCACGCAGGTAGTCTGTCTCTCAAGTTAGCTCTCTGGCGGTCTGTCTCTATCTATCTACCCCACGAAGAGGAACGGGGAAAAGAAGAAAAAAAAGGAAAAGAAAAGAAAAGAAAAAGAAAAAAAGAAGAAAAGAAAGAAAAGAAGAAAAGAAAAAGAAGGAAAAGAAGGAAAAGAAGGAAAAGAAAGTTCCCGTAGAGTTGATGAATAAGGGTTCCTTGCTGCAAAAAGAAAGGGGGAGAAAATATACAACAATCATAAACAAAAAAAAAGGGGGGGGAAAGGGGGGAAAGGGGGAGGGACAGAACTGGCCAACTTACATTCCCAGTCAATATTAATGCCATCTAGATTATACTGTAGCACAAACGAGACAATGTTGGCGACAAAAGTATCCTGGTTTTCTGGCCTGACGGCGTCCCGGAAAATAAAATACGTCTCCGGTTCGGCAGAGAAAATCCAGCCACCCAGAAACAGAATCTTCTTGAAGCCAGACATTCGCAGGAACAATTCCCACTGGATCTGTATGGGGCTGACATCAACAGCATAGCTCGTGGTGACATGGCCGAACGCCAGATGAATATGCATAGTTCCGGGTCTGTGAGGGCCGCAGACGGCGTTGGCGATAGGAGCTGGCATAGGGGGTGCACCGGTACTCAGGCAAATGTTCTGGTACGCTTGCACATTGGAAAACCCCTCCCAACCCCATGTTTCGGTGTTGAAGCTCTCAATCTAGGCATTGGTTAGGCTATGGGCCGCTCCCAAGGAGGAGCAGCCATCGCCGGGCACGACGTAGCGTGAGAAGCAAGTTCCGTCTGGGTTGGGTTGGGGCCGGCATTCGGGTAGTATTTCCAAATTAGATATCTCGGCACAAATTAGGCGTCCTCGGCGCGTCCCGAAACCCGGGCCATACCCCGGGCCGGACCCCACTAATAACTCACAAGGGCCGGCGGGGCGTGGCACGTCTTCTCCGGGTGGCTTCCCATTGGACGGTGAACATGCAAGCAGGGGCCTGAGCATGCGTCTCGCTGGACCCTGCAGATATCTAAAGACTGAACCACCAGACACCTACTAATGTACGTTGTACAACGTATGTACGTTGGACAGAGTAATTATTCCGTAGCACCTACGGATACATCGTACAACGATCTAATCATGCGGCTTTTGCGGGTTATTCCGAAAAGGAGCAGCAGCTACCAAGTAAACGCCTGCATGCTGAATTATGCATGCTATGCCGCGGAACAGACACCCGACAACTGGCAGTGGTTCGGAGTTCCTTTGATCCTTGTCATCATCTTACCACTACCATTCCTTTCACTTGAATACATCGCAGAATGAAGTTCTGGGCTTCTCCAAGTCTGATATTAATATATTTATAATAGGCCGAGGCTGAGCTGATCCATGCCAATGGAGGGAAGGCGGTGCAGTCCATCAATACCAGGGGCAGGCAGCTTGGATCAGGCACCTACATATCCCCGGCGTTCCAGTATTGGACGCTATGGTCTAGTCACTGTGCCCTATTATTCTACCCTCGATTTGAGCTCAAACTTGAACTCTTTGCAAGAAGGCCAAACCTTCCATCTTGCGAAAAGCTGCCCATTTTCTATTACGATCTGCCGGAGCAATTCACCCCGATCCTCGACAGCAGCAGGCCACCCATCATGGCGCTTATGCACATACGGCTCCATGACCATCAGCGCTTGTCGAATCCACTGCTCGGCCTTGCTCTCCTCATCAATCCTACCCGCCTCCACTATCCGCCGCTTCACATCGTCTATATATTTTCCCCTCTCCGTCCCTGTCTCGAACGCAGCACGCAGCACCGCCAAAAGCATATGGGATCGCATTGCGTAGTCCAGATGGCTCATGCTCACATCGATGCCCTCCGTCTCTTTCGCCGCAACAGCTGCTAGGAACGCAATCTCCTCTTCACTCCCTAGCTCCGCGTCCCACCCTCTATGCCACGCCATAGCACCCGTCCCGCCATCCGGCAGCCCACACCAGTAGATCTCGCTCTTACGCGTCCCATCTAAATCCCGCTCGAGAAACGGCACGGCGCCCATCGACTCCTCCCATCGTTTTCGCGAATAGTGCTTTTCCCACGCCCACATATCGTACCAGCCCTGCGCGGTGACATAGCCGAACTGGTTAGGAAACCATGTCTCCCTACGAATTTCAGCCTCGGGATCATCTATATTCATGTACTGGAGCCAGAAGAGGGCCTGCGTCTCTGAGTACGGTTGAACTTGATCGGGGTAATCCTCCCGCTGGCGTGAGATAGTCTCCTGGAGGGTGGAGAGGGCGATCTGCTTGATGGTTTCGGCGGGGAGGGTCGCCTGTCTACGGTGCGTCCGCATAACGTTGTATGCCCAGCGAGGAAGTTTGGTGAAGTGGCCGATTCCTTTTTCTCGTGGCGCGGTGAGCGGGTCGCTTGAGTCCGGTAGGTCTCGTAAGTCGGGGAGGCGATAGAAGCGAGCCGACAGTGCACTCATAAGGAACGTCGGCGAGTAGTACCGCTTCCATGCGTCCTGGTTCAGCAGCTCACGGTGCCGGGCGTAGAATATGTCGAAGTCGTCTGGTTTGGGAAAGCTGTCCTCGAGGTGCAGTTGGTCAATGGAGCGGTAGGTGCCGGCTGCTATCTGGGCTAGGTAGAATATATCCAGGGTGCTTTTTTGATCGTCAGCCTTTCCTTTTCGCCAAAGCAGGCAGTACTCGATTCGGAAAGTCGCCATTACCGATTGAATTTCAAATCTCCCTGGCCAAAAGACCAACCGCGCTCGTGGAGTTGTTCGACAACACTGAACACTCCATTGTCACGCACCATGCGTCGTTCCACATCCCAGGTTCCCCACAAGCCTTCATCCATATAGATAAATGCTATTCGCAATACTCGATCGTGGCTGTCAACCGGTATCTCCCCGCTTTTGGCCTTTGCGAGAAATTCTTTGGCACTCATGTGGCTCATGATTCTGATGGCTACCTTTTGTGTCACTCCATATTTATGAGATGAAGAGGTGGGGGTTGTAATAAAGTGATGCGGTGGGAATACGGAATAGATGTTGTTGATTCTTTCTACCGTAGGTTTCCCTTGATCAATTAAGGTAGGCACGAAGCTCAAGATACATCATACAACGCCCCACTCCTGGGCTGGTCAGGTACCCAAGGTACCTGTACCTCAGAGATAAGGTAGTGGGGCCGATTAAGCTTCTGTGGAGACCGATTAGAGATACACGTACAATGTACAACGTTACATAATCAATTGTTGAAGTGGGTACCACAGTAATTTGGGACGACTGCATCAGCACCCTCGCAATATAATTCTCTCCTTACACCCAAGCACCACACTGGGCACTCTTGCTTTTGTTCATATACACAGCGATTGTCATCCACACGTCTACCACTCCGGCAATGGCGTCCCAAAGGCCAGGGGCGCCCCCCTCGCCCAACACCGACATCTGTCCGGTCTGCAAAACGATGCGCTACCTCAATCGCGACCTAGAATTCCTCATCAACCCGGAATGCTACCACCCGATGTGCGCTAACTGCGTGGCTCGCATCTTCGCCGACGGCCCCGCCCAGTGCCCGTACGCAGGGTGCCAGAAGACGCTGCGCAAGAAGGCCTTCAAGGCGGCCTACTTCGGCAACCTGGCGGTGGAGCGCGAGGTGGACATCCGGCGCCGCGTCCACGCCGTCTTCAACAAGGAAGAACCCGACTTCGAGTCCCTCGCCGACTACAACGCCTACCTGGAGCAGGTCGAGGAGCTCACCTTCAACCTCGTCTCCGGCAACCCGGACCAGCGGTCCAAGGCCGAGGCCGAGATGCGCGACTGGGAGGCGAAGCACAAGAGCGAGATCGAGGAGCGGCGGCGCCAGGCGCGGGAATCCGAGGCCCAGCGCCTCGCCAGGGAGCGCGAGGCGAAGGACGCCGCGCGCCGCCGCCGGCTCGACGCCGCGCGCGAGGACGCCGAGGAGAAGGCCCGCGACGCCCGCGAGAGGGAGGAGATACTCGACACCCTCGCCACCGGGGACGCCAGCCACGCGCGCGCCACCATGCAGAAGGTCGCCCTGAAGAAGCGCGGCCAGCACAGGCTGGACGCCGCGCGGTCCAGCCTCTTGGACGCCGCCTCGTCGAACCTCTCCATCCGCGGCTTGAAGAAGGACAAGAAGCGCGAGGCGGTCGACGAGGGACCTTACGACCCTTTTGGCGGCTTGGACTTGGCGCTGCAGCGGTATACCCTTGGCCCGCTCGACGGGTACCGGAACGACTGGGTCGATGCCGCGCGGTCGCGCAGCGATATCGTCGTGGGTGGGTACAGCGCCGAAGAATATCTCTCTCGGGCCATGTTCGAGGCCTTTTCCGGTATGGGTGTCTTCATCGAGGATGAGAAGGGCGATGGGGAGTTGGCGACCAGGGAGGCGGCACAGGCTGCTGCTGCTACTAGCGACACCGCACAAAAGATGGATGTGGACGTCTTCGCATGATAAGAGGCGTAACCTCTTCAAGGAGCGCAATGTGCCTGTGCGCTGTTGTGTATTGCTGTATTATACCAGAGACGAACATGGGGATAGCATAGCGACGGCGTTTTACGGTTTCGATGCATTCAATGACATACGGCCGACTTTTGAGACTTACCTACGACGATAAACATTGCCTGGGTTTTGGTCACGGTGAAACGTGTCGGGAGATGGAGCTTGAGAAGTCCCAACGATTCTGGTTCCCAAGATCCATCGATACATATGTTGGCAATATACTTGGCTTCGTCCAGTTTGATGTCTAGACAATACGTCCTAGCTCGTGGATGCCGCCACTCTACTGCATAACGTCTCCACGCTGCACTGATACTCAAAAACAACTGCCCGATAAACGCCTCGCTGGGAAAGGGTGATGAAGAAACGGCAATGGAAAAAAGAAATCGAAGGCAAAAGAAAGAAAAAAAGCGTCTGCCAAACGAAAGACTAGGTCTGGGTTCGGAAAGAAAACTGGCCTTGTTCGAAACTTGCGGGCCTTCTCTTCGATTCTCTTGTGGTGTTTCTCCCTATTCACTGATCGTACTCCATATTACTGCTGCTGGTTCTGCCACGGCGCTTGCTGCTGCGGACGCGGGAACACAGTAACAGTCTGCAGATTATCGAGCCCACCCCCTATTGGTTGCTGGTTGTTCTGCCACCCCATGCCGGTCTGATGGTTGACGAAAGCCCCCTGTCGGAACGGGTTCGTGCTTCCGGTCGGTTGCGCCGCGAGCGGGCCGCCGCTGGTCGCCGGTCTCTGTTGCTGCGTCTGAGCCTGGGAGCCCCCCCCGAAGCTTTTCGCGAACGGGTTCGTGCCGGTGACCATGGACTGGAGGGGTGCTCCTGGCGGCGAGGTGGTGTGTTGCGGAGACTGGAAAGGCGGGGATGACGTGGAGCCGAAAGGTTGCTGCTGGCTCGGCTGCGGTGATCTCGCGAACGGGTTCGTGGATTGTCTCTGAAGTCCGCCCGGTCCGGGGGGGTTGGTCGGTGATCCGATGGGTGGGCTGTTCGTGTTCGGCGGCATACCGGCGGTTTGCTGGCTGATCATCATAGATGCCCTGAATGGATTGGTAGTGGCTGGTGCTTGCAGGTTGGCCATGCCCGTGGGAGAACTCATCTGGAAGTTCGCCACGTTATCTTGGGGGATGGGTCCCAAGACGCCAGGCTGGAAGGCCGGCTGCGAAGTGAAGCCGCCGAACCCAGCTCCTATGAAGTTGGGTTGCAATTGTTGCGGCTGCTGTGGCTGTGGCTGTGGCTGTGGCTGTTGCTGCGCTTGACCCCAAGGGTTGAAGCTTTGCATGTTGGCCACCTGCTGAGGCTGATAAGGGTTGTTGGAGAATGCTGGGGTGGCCTGCTGCATTCCCATGACTTGTTGCTGCTGTAAGGCTCCGTTGGGGACGAAACCGGTGGGGTTGGCCATCTGCTGGGGGATCTGATTGAAGGGCTGATGCTGATGCTGATGCTGATGCTGAGGCTGAGGCTGGGACTGAGGTAGAGGCTGTGGTTGTTGCTGTTGGGCAAGATTCGACGCCATGGGGGTTTGGTTCTGCTCGATGGATTCGAAAAAGTCGATCAGATCAGGAGCAGGGCCTCTAGCAGGTTCGGGTTTCAATGCTCCGGGTTGCGACTTGGAAGGTCCGTTGGGCTCTGGGAACTTGCTGCTCGCGGCCGGCTTAGGATCGGATGGTGTCGCTGCCGACTTGGAGCCCCCCGTGGCGGCTCCGCTCTTCTTTGCCTGGAGCTCGGCGATGTATTGTCGACGATTGATCTCAAAGTCCGGATCCTTCACGTACTCCTCCAATTGCTGCTTAAGGTTGGTGGGAGCATGCTTTAGCTTCGGGACCTCGACTCTCGTCAGATGTTCAAAATGGCGAGCCACTCTCAAGTAGCTAACGACAAAGTCGGTCTGTTTGGCAAACTGGCGGTAAATATCCAAGGCTCTCTCGGCGTCTGGTTTCGAAAGTTCAAAGAAGTGACCTGCGAGGATTAGCGGAGGCGCTTCAAGGGAGACAAAACACTCTAACGGGGAGGGCACCGGTGCTCACCAAGAATATTGATCATGGCCTGGTTCATGGCCTGGAAGAGAGCTAAGAGATCAAGAACGAGTAGACGGAAAGCGGTTTGGACGATTTCCATAGCGTGGTCGTCTTCCATGATCTGCGAAGGAACAGCAGGAGGAAAACGAAAAGGTCAGCTCGACTGGCAAAAAAGAAAAAGAAAGAAAGAAAGAAAGACAGAAAGATAGAATCCGGGGAGCATGGGTGTCCACCTACATCGCACTTTAAGAGGGCCGAGATCTGGCGCTGAATAACCTCAGTCTCCCGAAGCAGGCCCTTTTCCACGGTCAACTTCTCGAGGCGTGACGCCTTCACCCGTACCCAGTCGTACTTGGTATCGCGATATGCTCGTGCTCTTTCTTGTAGGTATCTGGCGTAGACTCGGATATTGCGACCTTGCGTCTGGGCTGCGCTGGACGGTCAGCCAAACCTGTTTTGTTACAGCAATGCGTGGGTGCGGAGAGGCAGCTACGGACCATCTGATATAGTGGTGATGGTAAGGAGGCTCGTGTGGTGCGAGAGGTATGCCAGGGTGGCGTCCGGCGAACCCTCACGGATCATGAGGTGGATGGTGATCAAGCTCTTGAAGACAACGGTCCATGTCGAATCTCGGAGGCGGTTCGAAAGTGCTCTGAAGATCTCGCCAACGCCAGCCTCGCCGGAATGTGTTGCCACGAGGATGTGTTCGATATATTTGGTCTTGGGGGGCGCCGCCTGGAAGTCACCCATCCTCATCATCATCAGCCTTCTGTAGAAACGGGGAGGATATTGGGGGGTAATCGTCTGTCGTGTGTTCTCGGTGCCACGTACCTTGATCTTGGTGGCGCCCTTGACAGACTTTTCGAACGAGCTCGACATTGTTGACGGCGGTCTTGCTGACGACTGCGAGGTTTATGGAGGAGAAAGAGGTCGAGAACGAACACGTGGATCTAGGGTCGGTGGGAGCAGTCGGATCGGTAGCCAAGATGTCTTTCTCCGCCTGGCCACCTGGATTTCGCGAGAAGTTGGAGCTGGGAGGGCGTCAGGGAACGATTGGGAACCTTTTTTTTCTTTTGCCTTGTCAGCTTGGGCGACGAGCCATGACCCAGCTTCGTGGTGAGTAGTCGTTTTGGTACAGAAAGCCGCGGTAAGTATACAGAGAGATGCCGTGTTGCGCAAGGGGGTACTGTTTGCTGTGCAATGACGATGATGAGTCTTCGCAACACGGACAAATGTGTTTGGACAATGCTGCGTACGATAATGATTAATGTTGTTCAGGTTGTCGGCTCAATTGACATCCGCGAATCCCGGGGAGGTTGGGCTCTGAAAGGAACTTCGGCCAAGGCAACTTGGCAGGCTGTCGTGGGGTTTCTACGGAGGTACACGTAGAGCCCACCAGGTACGTAATACTACAAGCTATGTGGTACCTGTTATTCCTTATTCCTTACCTTATACGTGTAGGGACCCAGCACATAATTAGGTACAAGGTACCCCGTGAATGACAGTACTTTCGTACGTCAACATTTGAGGTCACTTTTGTGCTGCAGCGATCGACAAGACACAAACACAGCCAATTTAGTGTAGATGTGTAAGGTACTCAGTAAGGATAAAATTCATTGATCGTACAAAACTACTCAAAGACAAGACTAACAGATGAGTGCTATTGCAATCAAGCCAAAATAAGAAGAAAAAGCCCTTCACGTTTCTTCGTCGAGACCACGTCATGCCCCAAACCAAAACACCATCCTTCTGCTAAAAATAACAACAATGACAAAAGTAGGTGATTAAGAAACTCCCTCCACAACCAGTGGTGGTGCTTCTCAATCTCCCATCTTCCAATTCAAATCAAAATCAGATTTGCCTTTCATCGCGTCCGATGCTTAACAAGGTCATGTGGCCGAACGCCGAGATCATGGCCACCAAAGTCCATCACAACTCTGCCCTGAAGCCCCCCGAAAGGGGAGAGCTCGGAAGATCCGGACATTGGCAGCTGCATCATATAATCCACGAGGCTATCATCACCTGTTCGTTTCACCGTTAGCATAGTAACTGAATGATGTAGGGTTTGAGGCGGTAAGTAAACGTACGGTTTGTTGAAATGGAAGAATCATGAGGAGAAAAAAGAGAAGAGATTCAAGAGGGCGAGGCTCGCAGAGCCTTTTTATGAGTCGCGCGCCCGGGTGGATCCCAGTACGGAGGTACGTGTCTCTCCTCGTCAAGTCACGTGAGTTAAGCTTCGCGTTTCTTGAGGACAGTGGATCCAAAGCGAGTATTCATTGTTGCGAGGTAATTCACATGCATTGTAGGACTAACAGGCCAGATCGATCCGAAACGGCCTCGTCCAAAAATGAATAGGAGACCAAAAAAGCCTGACTGGTACTCATACGAGGCAAGATGGTAGAAATGGTGCTCTCAAAATGATGCCCATGAACTGATTAAATGTGCTCCGTAAACCCAGCCATCCCAAGCTCCACCCCTCGTCCAAGTGTGCTGATGCGCCGCAAAAAAAAAAAAGAGGCCAGAAGAAACGCCGTACAGAAGCAGAAGCACTGCTCGTATCCCCCCATAAACATGATCTCTTAAACAACGCCCCTGTGTCCCGACTCCCGCCGGACGAAAACCACCTCACCAAACAGACGAAGAGACAGATGAAGACCACGGCAGACCAGCACGGCCGACTTTCGGACCAGCACAGCGCAGGCATCTCCTCTGCTGCCCCAGATTCGTAACGGAGCAATGCGAGCACACGCGTTTTCCGCAGGCCGAGCACGTGCAATCGGCCTCGACCCCGTATCCGTATCCGTACCCGTCGACGTCCATCGCAGCAGCGCCACCGTCACAGTCCCCGGACAAGCCGAGACCGGCACCGCAGTCCTCGCAATTTGTTCCGGATGAAAGCGAGTAGGGGTCGACGTGGGGCTCTGGAGACGATACGCTGGGCCTGGGGGTGGAATTGATGCGCCAGAAGCTGTGCAATGATCGTTGTGTAGGTCGCGTTGTCGTCGGGTGGTGGGTGTGAGACATCTCAGGGGTGGGAGAAGGAGAAGGAGAAGGAGGGCCGACGGCGGTGGGATAGTCGGGCTGTCGTGGCCGCTGGGCGGAGAATAGCATGTTGAGAGTGCGCTCTACAGACATGACAAAAGCGAATGGGTCAGCCTTAGCTCGTTGTATAATATATGTATCCCTTGCTGAGATGTGGGGTTGCGTTGAGGCCGGCTGGACAGGAAAAGCTTACCGTGAATCTCCTCTTCTGAGGGTCGGTTGTCGCGGACGCGCTTCATGGTGCGGCTGGGGAGGTGGGGGGGAGTGAAGTAGCGTGAAGACATGGCGACGACGGGTGAGACGGGGGAGGAGTCTGTCACCATTCTGTCGGGGCGGGAGGGCGAAGAGAAGCATGAGGTGGAGGAGGAGAGCTCGGAACAGGATCGCTTGCGCTTGACCATTGTGCCGGATGATGGTGGTGCGGTCTCTTTTTTATTTGTTTGTTGGGTGGCCAATGGTAGGCGATTGGGGGAAGAAGTTCGCGACAGGTGTGAATTAAGTCGTAAGTCTGGGTTGTGATGGTTGAGCGCGGGTTGAGCGTGGGTTGAACTGAACTTCATGGACATAAATACGGGGAGGCCAGAGACGAGGACGGGGGGGGGCGCGACACATACCACCCCTTGTCGCGTCACGTCACGTCCCGTCAAAGTCGCGTTTATTGACCCCAAGTTTAATTGAATGGCTACTCTGTACATAGATGATGTATGTCACACTGTGGGAATAAACTGTGCATAACTAAGGTAAGGTACCTAGGCATGGGTATCTTCTGTTCTCTTTTTATTCCGAATAATGTCTAGGTATTCCGTGTATTCCGGACTCATGCCCCATTATTGGGCCCCGTGTTAGTAGATCGTTGTGCATTTTGCATTCTGCGTCTTCATTTTCAGCCGTTTATTATTATTATTATTATTATTATTATTATTATTATTATTATTATTATTATTATTATTATTATTATTATTATTATTATTATTATTATTATTATTATTATTATTATTATTATTATTATTATTATTATTATTATTATTATTATTATTATTATTATTATTATTATAAATCCGCCGCCACTCTAATCACGAGTGTTCCGACGCCTCCCTTTCCCGTCGCGGCCTTTATACACTCCGCTCGCACCCCCTCAACATCCGCAAGGTCCACCACGCGCTTAACGGATTTGATCTTGCCCCGAGCGATGGCCTCGCCGATGACGTCGAGATCCTCCTTGATCTCCGGGTTGCCCGACACGGCGGCGTAGTGGATGTTCGTCCCCCGCAGCAGGAAAGCGTACCAGTACTGGGCCAGGCCGAGGATCCACTTCATCCAGAAAGGCACCCGGTCCGGACCCCCCACGAGGCCGGCCAGGGTATCGGCCGTGGGCATGCTGGCCAGCGACACGATGACGCCCGTCGCGGGGTTCACGAGCGGGATGCCCGGTCGCAGGGCGTCGAACTGGGTGTTCAGCATGATGTCGACGCTGCCCGGGGCGACGTGGTCGGTGAGTTTCCCGGGGGCGGTGTAGTCGATGACCTGGTCGACAAGGGGACCGCCGTCGTGGGGGTTGGGAGATGGTAGCAGCTCGTCGACGAGGGACAGTTTCGGGGTCGAGACGGTGGAGATGACGCGTTCCGCGCCGAGGAGATTCTTAGCAACATAGATGGCGGCGGACCCCGTAACGCTGAGGGCGGCCGGGACGTAGACGGTTTTCCCTTCGAGGCTGTCCCAGCCGGCCATGGCCATGCCCCTGCGGAAGGCCTGGTAGGCGGCGACGGCGGCGGCGGGCTGGGCGGCGGCGTCCTCGAAGGAGAGGTGTGGCGGTTTGGGGAGCAGGCAGTGCTCTTTGGTGAGGGCGTACTCGGAGCAGAAACCGGGAAGGGGGTCGGCGAGGAGGGGCCGGGTGAAGCCGTGGCCGTAGACGGCGTCGCCTACTTTGAAGGCGGTGACGTCGGACCCCACGGCGGCCACGACGCCGGCGCCCTGGATGCCCAGCTTGGCCGGGAAGTCGGGTTTCGGACCGACGGGGACCTGGCCGCTAACCATTTGGCAGTCGCCAATGACGATCGCGCCGGCGTATGTGCGGACGAGGACGTGTTTGGGGTGGGTGATGGCCGGGACGGGGAGTTGGAGGACTTTGTATTTTTCAGGCCCGCATGCCTCCGGCGCGGCGAGGCTTTTCATTGTTGGGGGGATAGTAGACATTGTGGTCGTCATGGTGGGCAAACTGGGGATGTGTTGGAGAAGGTCTGCACGATCGGGTCGCGGACGTGACAAGTCCGTTCAGTTACTTTCATATGGCCCTTCCATTGTATTTATACATATGCAAACACGGATAAAGTCCGCCGTCTTTCATCTCGTGATAGAAATGCCCTTGAGCCAGTACGAGCATGCATGTCAATCCCCATTTTTGGAGGTGCTTGAAGGTGGTGGGTTAGGTGAGTGAGACGGGGGGGGTCTTCATCCTTGCCATTTGGGTCAAAGTCCGCAGTCCGCTCAATCAAATCGGCGGACTTTTGGCTTTTGCTTCGCTAGGTACCTTATTAGTAGGCTGGCTCTGTAAGGTACGGAAGTACAACGTACAACGTAGCGGACACGTACCGTAATTACCACAATTTTACAACCTAAAAACTTATTAAGAGGTATCAAGAGGTATTAAGAGCGCCAAGTTCGTTCGTACCTAAGGTACTCTTCGGACTGGAAACCAAGGCCAAGGTCTTTACCTAGCGTTAGAACAAACAACGCCAGCGCCGACAACGTCAAAAGTCACAACAGAGTCCCTGTTCAAGGCACTTTGTGTATAATACGAAGAGAAGAATCTAATTCCGTGACTGGTTCTTCCCGGGGCATCGATGCATTTTCAGCTACTAAGGTAGGTAGGTAAATCTTGTTTCCAACAGCCGATCAATATATCTGCCTACGGATAGTTCTACGGGGTACAGGTACATGCCGACCTACCCCAGACCCTCTCACACAACATCACACAACATCACGCAACACGTATCTGTACACACACATACATCTTCAGTCTTCCCAACCCAGGTGGTATACCGATGGCACCGTCCATGTCTAAGGTACTTCTTCAGTACCTACCTTAGATGGAGTAGTCGCCGGTAACTCCTTCCGTGGAATGCTTCGCACATGTCGTTCCTTCTCTATTTCCGTTTGCTTTGCTCCGCTTTGCTAACGCCAACACCCCCTGACTCGTCCAAACCTTCCTCGAGGCTGCTCTCTCTTGCTTTCTCTCGGTCTCTCTTTCCGAGCCAGTCATCACGACTCCCCGAAAGGGCCAACATGATAGCGTTTCCAAGCTGCCGCCACGGGTCTCGAGGCCTCCTTTCCTTTCTTGCCGAGTTTGAAATGGAAATCACCCCCGGCCGATTCAGTCTTCTATAAATACGTCGACCAGTGCCCCGATTCTGGTCCATGTCCCAACATGTTGAAAAGACGAATAAACGCATCTTCAATGATTCAGTCTAACAACTCCTCAAAACTGAACAAATAACCAACGAGCGTGCGAAGAATTAGGAATAACATCAATCTCCCCGCCTTGACTCAAACATCATCATGGCCCAACAGGTTGGCGACGTGTTTAGAATACTGCCGACGACGCCACATGCCCGTCACCTTCTGCACATTCCACTTCTTGTCCTCCCTCTTGGCCTTGGCCGATTTTGCCTTTGCCCCCACCAGGAGTCGGACCTTTTTCTTGGCCGGTCCGCCTCCGTCTTCCGCCCCATCCTGCTCCTCTTCGTCCGACCCGGGTACGTCCAGCGGCCACTCGGACGCGACGGAACGGGGCACGCTCTTCGGCACTTCGAACGGCAGGGCCGCCGGTAGTTGTATGGCGGGGCCGCCGACGTAGCCGGGTGGTCGTCGAGGCTGCGTCTCCCTGGATTGTCTGAAGGGGTTCCAGATGCTGGTAGCCCAGGAGGTGGTTCCGGGGCCTTTGTCGTCTTCGGGTTGTCCAAGCGCTGTTGTCATGTTAGTCTCGGTTTGTTTTATTTTATTGATATATATTTGGTTCAAGAGAGGAAACGACACGGGCAGAAAAAGGAGAGGAAAAAAAAAGGAGGCTTCAGGATTCACTTTACCTTCCCTAAACAAACGAACAGTCGCATCTTCAATGGCCGCCTTTTTCCGCGGCGTGTCCGCGAGTAGGGTACCCGTCCTGCCAGGCTCAAAGGCACCTGACGGCTTCAAGACATTCCGGATCGGCTGGCCCAAATCGGAATCCTCGTCACTCTGAGCACTGCTTGACCGCCGCCTCTTGCCATGGACGGTTTTCTTCACCTCCTGAATGGTCTGCGTCAGGGGCCCATCCATTCCCGCGAATGGGACCTGGACGTCGTCGCCCGCCGGGGTTTGCTTCGTCATCGTCGTTGCCACCGACATGCTGCCACCAGAATGCCCCGCGCCGTGACCCTCCGTCGGCACCGACATCGACACCGACGCTTCACCAGATGCAGACACCACGACATCCGCGTCGAGAGGCGACCGCGTCTCCGACTCCTTGAGTATCTCCTCCCGCCGCCCAGGACTCTGCAGGTGAAGCGGCCACCGATCCAAGCTAAACCACCGTCTCGGCGCGCGGCGCATGCCTCGCCACCCGGGCCTGGCCCACTCCCAAACGGGCTCTCGCTGGAGCGTCATCACCGTCTTCTCTCCCGGCCGAAACCGCTGGCGTGCCGGCCAGAGCATGTTCTTCGCCTCGCTGAGCTCGCGGATCAGACCGGCCCGCACGGTCTCGACCGCCTCGCCGTGGTGCACGTCCCCCCGGAGCGGCAGCTTGTCCGTCCCCCGGAACAGGGCCGGGTAGGCCGCCCGCGCGACGGCGGCGTACTTGACGGGGGGCCCGCCGCTCTCGGCGCGCTCGCAGAAGACCTCGTCCGTCCAGACGTCTTGCATGTCGTAGAGTTGGAGGCGGTGGGAGTCGACGGCGGCGGTGAAGGTCGATCCGCCGCCGCCGCCGGCGCCCTCCATGACGAGCCTTTCGTACGTTTCGTTGATGGTGCGGCGTGCTTCGGCCTCTGCGGCGCCCATGCGCCAGGCGACGATCTTGAAGGCTAGTGCTGTCACCTCGGCCGAGCTGGGGCCCTTTGTGGCGGCATCGCCGTCCTTTTTCAGAACCTCCTTCTCGTGCTTCGCCACGGCAATGGCGGTCTCCCAGCCCAGGGGCGGGGTCGTCGCGGGCGGCGGCAGCGTGTCGAGATCAGGGGACTTGGGGCACTTGAACGAGTACCAGTCGATGCGCATCTCCGGGTGATACTTGTACTTGGGGCGAGAGAAGGTCACCTCGTCGCCCTTCTGACGAAAGCCCAGGCGCCCGGCATCGGCAAGGAGCTTGCCGTGGTACACGACCTCCTGGGCCACAAAGTAGATCATATCGGGCTTGGTACCGCCGTGGGTGCCGATCGTATTCACGGCCTTCTTCATCTCCGCGACGCTGCGTCGCACGTTGGCATTCGCCAGCACGCCCCCCGACCAGGGATCGGCCAGCAAGGCCTGTATCCGCTCGGCAAAGACCTCCATCCGGCGGTTCTCGGGTACGTAGGCCCTCGACTCGTCCAGGAGCGCATCGTTGGTCGACGGTCCGGCGAGGAAGCGCATCCAGTACAGGTCCCGCTCCGAAATCTCCTTGTGTTCTCTTGCCTCGCCCCGTTCCTTCAGCACTTCGCTTTGTCGCCGAAGCTCGTCCGTGACCGCTTTGTCCTTGGGTTCCTCCATCTTGGTGCCCATGTCCCAGTGGGCGAGGACTTGCTCGAGAAGCTCCCGCGGCGCCCGCCGCTGCGCGGTTTTCAGGAGGTCGCGGATGCCCTTCAGCTTCTTGAGGAGCGCGAGCTGCGTTTCCTCCTGGCCGGCCAGGTAGCTGGGCTTATAAGGACCCAGGAAGTTGGCGGACGGCAGCGTCACGGGTTCGCCGTCTTGCATGCTGCCTTTCATGCGCTCCCGATGCCCCCTTTCGACCAAGGGACGGGCTCGCTCGGCCCGTTTGGCGTGGTTCGCCAGCAGGTGCGAGTGCCAATACACAAACCCGAGCGGGTCGAGCTTCTCTCCCGAAGGAGGCTGCATGAGGGCCAGAGGTTTGTAGACGATCTGCTTTCGGGCCTCTTCCTCGGCACGCTCGCGCTCGCGGATCGGGATGGGCAGGACGAGCCGACGGAAGGCGTTGGCGAGGGCGATGTTCTCGTCGTTGTTGAAATGCGTGAGGACCTGCTGCAGGGCGGCGCGCTTTGCTCCCCGGTACGCGGCGAACCGGCGGGCGGAATGGCCGTCCGGGATCGTTTCCCCGTCGGCCTTGTCGACCCAGTCCTTGTTGGATAGGTAGAAGTTGGCCTCCTGGCGAAGAGCGCGGGAGGTCTCGGACGGGCCGAGAGCCATGCACTTCACATACTGCAGGTCTGCAACGTGCGACATGTTGAAGTCGGGCTGGTAGCCGAAATAGCGGTAGGTCCAGCCTCGCTGGCCCGAGCCGACGAGTTCGGGTTTGGGGTCGAGCGGGTCGTCAACGTCGATGTCCCAGAGCCGGGTGTCGTCCTGGCGATACCACAAGTAGAAGTGGGAATGCAAAATGTTGGCAGGAACCTGGTAGTCCACGTCGTGGACCGACTCTGGATTGCGATGAAGCAGATAGCGAGGCTTCGGTCGGGCGTTTCCTTGGACGTCTCCACTGGTGATATCGGCGACGGCAACAGGAGGGACCGACGTCGGGGCTTTGAGGCGCTGGGGAAACACGACCGGCTCCGAAAAACCGAGGTTCAGCTTTCTCACGCCGTAGTGGTGCTGCTCGTACAGCCAGTGGGTGCGCAGCATCAGGGTGGCCTCCTTGAGGTCCCAGCCCCAGTCCTCATCCTTATATACACTCAGGAGGTGCTGGAGGTAAACGGCAATCTCGGCGAAATGGCCCTTCCACCCCAGCGTACGGTCGATGTCCTCGTCGGCAAGGAAGTTTTTGATGCGGATGAGTTGGATCTTGGGCGAGTGGATGCGCCATCCGCGGTATTCCATCATCTTCAAATCTTGCGACTTCGCCTCGCCCTTGTCCTTGAGCCAGTTGATGAGCCAGTTCTCGTCGTACAGCTCCGGCGCGGTAGGACCAGGGAGCTCGGTGCTGCTGGGTACATTGGCATCGATCATCTCCACGTCGTCGACGTGCCCAGGGGCGTCCCCCGTCCCATGGTGACCGGTATCATCCATCTCGACATCGCCTTGATTCCCAGGGGTTGTCTCCTTGGAACTTATGTCGAGTATCGTCTTGCGTATACCGAACCTCCGCAAAAGGGCTTTTGCGTAAACGGCCTTTGTGTGCGGCTCTTCCGGATGCGGCGACGACCCCTCCGCCGCCTTGGACTGCTGCACCGGCTCCTTACCCCTGACCATTGGGTGTCTCACCTCCGCCATCTTTCTCATCTCCGGCAGCATCTTATCGACGTGGCTCGACTTTAGCTTCCCAGAATCCAAACCGATATCCTTCATGAGCAAGCAGAGTTCCTCCAGCATCTTCTCTGCCTCCCAGTCTAGCCGAGCCTTGGTCTTCGGCTTCCCTCCGGGGAGGGGTGCCAGGATTTTGTCGAGGGTCGTGAACCGGTTCGGATTCCAGTCTCGATGTTTGGGGAGGCTATTCCAGTCCTTGGGTATACCATCGTCCTCGTCCGCCTTGTCGGCCTCGTTCTCGTTCTCTTTCTCGGAATCCAGCTGTGCCACAGTGTGCTTCGCAAGAACGTGCGAGGAGGTCGTCTCCGCCCCAATGTCGTCCTGGCTTGGACGATTCCCGACGACGAAATGCTTCCAGGTGGTTTTGGGATCATATGTCGGCTCGGTGCCTTCAGGGGTAGGACGGTACGTCCACTCGGTCGGAAACGGCTCTCTCGGGGCTGGACCGCCGGCGGTTGGCGCAAGGGGGACCTCGTGGTCCTTGGACGGTTGGGGGAGGAAGCTGCTACGATTGTCCATCTTTTGGCCCAGGGCGAGTCTCACCGCCTCGTGGTCGTGGTCGTAGTCGGCCATGGTGGCCGCGAGTTGCGCTGGGCCCAGCCTCCGGACTTCTTGCCGAATGAACTCCTCCTCGCGATCCTGTTCTTCCTCCCAGAGGGCTGCGCCCAGGTCCGCGTACTTGAGCCAGGGGTAGCGGGGGCCGTATACCTCGCCCATTAGGCTTCTGAAGCCGTCGTTTCCCTTCAAGACGTCGTCCAGCACACGGGACGATATGAGATCCTCAAGATGACTGAAGAGTCCATGGTAGTCCTTAGTCATAAGAAGTTCTCCAGTCTTGTCGTGCGAATCTGGCGGAAATTGCCAGTAAACCTTGCGCACCAGCTCCGCCGCGTCGGCTGCCTATCGTTAGAGATGCGAGTTTCATAGAGGGCTGACAGGTGATTCATCTTACGCATCTTTGCTTGCGCCATGACTGGGGGGGAAAGGGGTTGTTGCATGTGCCGACGGATTGAGGATTCGATATTGCCCGACTCTGAAAGGTAGTATTCTCCGCCGTCTTGCTGGAAAGAGAAACAAGATGAAAATTGACACGCTGTAAGTGACAGCAGCGAACGAAGGTATTGAGATTGTAAAAACTAGAAAGGTGAAACTGAAAGTGTCCAAAAGTGTTGCGGTTTGGTCGTTACATGATCATTCTGCACAACAAAGAGGCAAGGAAACCCGTCCAAGTAATGGATTACGAGTACTGACACAGACGCGAAGAGAAGAAAAGGGATGCCTTTGATCAAGAAGGAGGGAAGACTTGGGACTTTTTCTTTTCTTTTTTCCCCCTCCCACCCCCCAAAACGGTTGCAGGTCATGGGACAAAGAGCGCAATGCAGTCCAACAAGGGAGCATTCCAAAAGAGGACTCGCCGTCAAAGAAAGGGGACGAGCGATGCGGTACAAAGCAAAGCATCTTCTCAATTGCGGCAGTGTTTCTCTGTCACACCAACTGTAACAAAGGAGGCGTGGTATTCCCTATCCGGATCGCCGCAACCCTCATGCCGCATTGGGTGAATGAAACGTTGCCGATTCAAGGGATTGTGATTGTGCCCCAGTCGCCACGATGAAGACAAAGAACGACGGGAATTCCAGGTTCAGACATATGGCGCCGGCAAAAATAGCCCCTTCAACAAAGGATCAATGATCAATGATCAATGGGACGGGCAACCCCAGCCCACTCCAAATCTTGAGAGAGGATCAACCAAGCTGTTCCTAAAGACACACATAAGCTGGAAGAATCAGGAACTTAACACAGAAAATAAGCCAACTAAAGCGACGTTCTGCCAAAAAAGAAGAAAAAAAAGCCCAGAGACACGAATAGGAGACATGGCGTCCAACGATAATCAAGGTCTCCCTTCCAGAGACAGCACATCGCCAGCGCGGATTCCAGACATCTCGGGCCAAGGACCCGAGGAACGGAGTGAAGAACAGAGCAGTCGCACGGAAAGTCAAGACGACTTGCCAGAAACACCCGCATCTCCTCAGGTCAGGCCAAACACGGCCACGACACAACCCTCGAGGCGACCCGTCGGAGGACCGATCCATCAACTCCGATCACTGGCCGAACGGTTCCCCGGACGGCCGCCGTGGGACTTCGCCGGCTACCCAGCAAGCCAGCGACCCGGGGGCCAACCGTACCCGCGGGAACCGTCCTTCGCGCCCCCGACGACGATCATCGGCGCGCCGCTTGGCCGCAACCTCAGCGCCATCGAGGCGGCCGACGCCCTGGTCCGGCAGTGGGAGACGATCCGCGAGGAGCATTCGGGCCAGTCCGAACCGGAGGCCCTGGCGGAGATTGACGCCCGGCTCGCGCAGGCCAGGGCGGACAGGGCGGAACTCGACACCGTAGGTAACACGTCCGATGTGAATGATTCCCTGTATGTCAGACCCCCGTCATCTCCGTCATCTCCTTCAGACATGTTCATTCTCCCGTTGGACGGGTAAAAGAGCTCAAATTAATTCGCCCAACTCCCCGCACAAAAGGGACGACACGGAGCTGTTCCGACGAAAAGCCGTCTCGGACCGGCTCGACGTCCTCCAAAAGGCGCTCGAAGAGTCCCAGTGCGAGGACGAGAAAATGAACATCACGGCCGCCATACATTGCTACCGCGACGGGACCATCACCTCCTCGAGCTACTTCGCCCTCTTCTTCGCGGGACACTTCGTCGACTTGGCGCCCTCCTATGCTTCCTTTACCCACGACCGCGACGAACGCCTGGAGCGGTACGCGGAGAAGCACGGGCCCGGATGGCTGTGGTTCGAGCCCCCCCTGGCACGAGACGCGGCCGAGTTGGCCGCGGGGGCAGTAGATGCTCGGAGGAGCACGTGGTCGCAGGGCGTAGGGGGCAGGTTCGACATGAGCCACTACCACGTCACCATGGGATTCAAGAGAGTGCGAAACATGGGATACCGCGGGGGGGAGGTAAGCAACAACAACAACGACCACCCGACAACGGCAACGGCAACGGCAACGGGACCGAGAAAGAGAAAGGCAGACGACCACGGCACCAGTACGAGGGGACCAACATCCTCGCACGCCAGCACGAACGCGCCACGGCTCGGGATCCAGCCCGTCACAGCGACATCGGCAGCCGACGCGGATCCCAAAGCGCCGCGGCATTATTTCCGCATGATGCTGGATTCGGGCGCCACGCTCCCCATGCTCTACCAGGAGGACTTCAAGCTCCTCGGGATCGACGAGAAGAAGTACCCCGCCGTGACCAAGCTATCGTTCGTCCCGGCGGACGGGGTGTCGTTCGAATCGGCCGTGTACGAGCTGCACGTCAGCGTCTGCGACACGCGTACGGCGCAGCCTCTGGTCGACCCGGAGAGGCCCGTGTGGCCGGACGCGAGCCCACACCTCGGGGGGATCATGCCGGTTGGGATCGTCAAGCCGCCGCGTACCAGCCCTGCGGCACAGGGGTACATGGGGCTTTCGATGGACGACAAGATCATCAGGATGGCCAACGCGGCCGAAGGGCGCAGCGCTCACCGTTTGTCCGGGGTCCTGCCGTTCAAGACGTGCTATATGCAGTTCACCCCGGGGATGAACACGGTGTGGCTCGGGGAAGATAGACGGGACGTTCTCGGGGCCCACCGTATGCCGGGCCAGATGCGGTGGGAGGCCGGGTCGGCCACGCCGTTCGACCCGGGACATCCAAGAGCGGAGTGGAATAAACTGGCCATGTATACGGACGGAAACCCGAGGACACTCAAGATGGAACACGACGTGCACGACGGGACCGGGAGGAAGGTGATGAGCATGGTGGACGTCGAAGAAGAGGGTTGGCATGGGCGGAGCGAGGTGTCGGTTCGCTATGGCCATGGCGAGGGTTCATGGACATACCGTATTGAGCCCGGACTGCAGACGGGGGTAGAGGGGCTGCCCGAAGGCAAGAAACGGAAGCTGTTTGGGCATAGTAACGGGAGAAAGAATGGGCAGCCAAAGACGTCGTCGTCGTCGTCGTCGTCGTCGTCGTCGTCGTCGTCCAAGGGGTGGTGGGGATGACTATGGACGAGTCAGTGAGAGGAGAGAGAGATGTCTCCCGTGTACTCGGTAGCGTGGGCATCCAGGCTTCATAAAAGAACGTGAGTACATCTCGGCCAGCTTCTCGGTTCGGGTGGCCTCAAGACCAAGGAGTACCTTATCTAGTATCTAGACTCGAATAGACCATAGCCATGACCCATTTGGGCTTATGTTTATCGCAAGGTTGGCGTTGGCCCTCGACGTAACACCGTCAAGACAAGACGGGCCATTGTCCGGCTCTGAATCCTTGCACTACCTTAGGTAGGGTGTCGGTGGTCTAAGTAGTCTCGGGTAGAACTCGGAACTGGATGTTCCTATTCGTGACTGTACGGAGCTTGGATGAAAGCAGACCAGACGCCCCTCGATGGGAGACAGCCGCGTAACACTCCATCGTTTCTACTTTCCACATAGTCTCGTGTGAGTCGTGTCCCAGCCCACAAAGACACGAGATCGAGCAGTGGACGTGAGGGGCGAATGCAAAGCAATGACGACGATTGGGGCCGGGCCAGTATAAAGACCCCAGAGTGAAAATCGGGTTGCAGCTGTCGACGTTGTGCAAGTTTGCCGTTGGAGGAATGAAGCTGTCACCTGTTCCCTGGGCCGCCTATTTCTTCCACCGCGCCCTGGATGACTAAGCATTAGCCGAGATGTTCCGTAGACCTTACACGTGTACAAAGTACCTTGCCTCACGTAATTACCTCCCTCCTCACCTTGAAAAGTAAATCTTGGCAGGGGTATACGGAGTAAAATTGCCATCCACTCAGTCATCACATTCCAGCTAGCCTTGTTACGGCATGGCATCGTGACAAATTTAGCATGTCTGGGCGCAGCTAATAACTACCTTATCAAAGCAGGCAATTACCCGTGATGATAGCAAAAATTGAAAATTTCTTACAATTTCCCCGTCCGAGACAGCTTCCTAATATCTATCCATCCCGGATGGTGCACTTTCGTATCTTCTTCCCCTGCAGAGTCCATACATATATGGTACCTTATTATTAGTCCTGTCCATGTCCATGCCTCCAGAGGTCCGGTCCCATGCATATGGTAATCAAATATACACGCCACTTCCGGATCCCACCCTGTCAATCACAATGAAGCTGAAGCTTTGGCCCTCCCTCCCTTGCTTGCCTTTGGGCTCAGTACGAAGCATTTCTTAATTCGACCCGAAGGGTAATACTATTTATTCTATGCCCCCTTGCCCCCTTGCCCCCTTTCGTCCTGCAGCTTCTAAGCGACGTGACCATGCCCAAGCTTACAACGTACATGTATGTCTCTACGAATCGGGAGGAAAGAAATTGGGGCATCTTTGAGCGACTGTGGCGCAACAGGGCGCTCCAGCCACATCATCCACTCGATACGGTCAAAAGAACCACCAGGAATTACGGAATATCGTAAGACACAATACCGTAAGCTCAATTAGGTGCCGACACAGGTTCATTCCACTGCGAAAAGCTCGAGGGGACATGCACTGGGACACAAGAGGGACATCACATTTGGGGAGGTTTGTGTTCTTTTAGGACCTGATGTCCTGCTATGTATGTACAGCTACTAGCCAGGATAACGAGTCGCGAGGCAGGCAAGAGATGACCTCCCAGGGAATGGGTAAATTACGCCGTGCCCGACACCGTCCAAATATGTCTCTTCCGAGAGATGGTATTGTGCCTCAAAACCCCATCTGACGAGACTGCAGGAAAGCAGTTTTTTCTTCCTCTTCCATCTTCTCCCCAACTCATGCTCCTGTGGCCCGCCATCCCGCTTCCAGTCCATGTCCAGACCCTCGTATTTGGTAGCATTCCCTGTTCTCCCCCCCTTCCCCCCCCAACCAAAAAAAAAGGGAGAGGGGAACATAGAGGCGGAAAAAGTGCCAAAAAGGGAGAAGCAATGTTCCCAAGCCTCGGATCCCCTGGGAACCACGCCATACCTGCACCCCAAGATTATTAGTGGCCCGAAACACGTCACCGATTTGCATGGCCGGATTCCTCGAGTTGCCGTATCGACCCGCTTCCCATTAGACATAGGCCGCAGCATTCCTGCTGGCGGATGCATCCCGAATATCCCGCCCCTCGACTCAAAATCCGGCCTCTGGACGTATGTGTTCCCTCCACTGGACTTCGCGTCCGTCAATGTTTTTACATTCTGAAAAGCTTTGTTCGCTTCGTCCTCGTTGTGATCGCGCTTTTATGGGGTGTCGCTCGTAAAAAGGAAAGGAAAAAAAAATGAAAAATGAAAAAGGTGGACAGAGCCGATCGTCCTGGAAGTCCTATAGCACAAAGCGCCGAGGGTGCTAGAAAAGAGAAGAATAAACGCTCGTTGCTTTCCCGCTGACCCTTCCGGGGGTGAATTCAGGCGTCGCGAATGTAACTTTCCGTGGCGTTTACGGAGTGCTGAGAATGGCAGTATGCGAGAACTGAGATACGAAAAAAAAAGAATAAAACCGGGGTATTTTTTCCTCCATCATCTGGCTCTGCTTATTTTTTTTCCTAGTGACTTCACTCCTTCTCTCTCCTTCTCTTGCCCTGCTTAAATATGTGAATCCAAGTCCTTGCGCGCAATACCAAATGAAAAAAATCGCTGGATGCCATGGCTGTGTTGGTGATGAGGGCGTTCATGGAAAAAACCTGTAGGTGTATGCTCCAATGTAGCTCATCTTTTTTTTTGTTTTTTTCCGCGCTTCAGTGGCTAGGGCCGGCGAGAGCCCCGTGGTGACGCAGAGAGGGGAGATGTAACCTTCGTCTTTCGGTTGCAGTATTTGACGCAACATATAAACAAAGGGTCGGACAAACATCGGGGGAAAGTCGAGCCCGCCAATGCAGGTGCAAGGTCGAGCCCAACATGCCCAACTGAGTTCATACCATCTGGCCCATAGGGTCGTGTGGGTAGGCCGCGTACCGCTGCTGCAGGTGCTGTTGCTGGTAGACGACGTGGTGAGGTTGCGGTGATGGGGTAACGGGACACCGGGGTGCGACGGGATAGTATTGTTCTTTCGGACCATTCGCGTAGCCAGACCCGTCGGGGGTTATCGGGGGCGTCATGTAGCCGTCGGCAACACCCTGGACAGCGCCGTGGCCCTTCTGTGGCGTGCTGTAAATGTCGGCTTGCTTGGCGGGTTCGGACGGCGGCGACGGCGGGCCGGATTGAGCTCGGGCAATGCTAGCCTGATGGGCCATGAATGCTGCCAACTTCTTCGATACGCACAAGTGATGAGGCGAGGAATACTTTCGGGCCAACGCCACGGACGGCTGGTGAAGATGCCGTGACAACGTCAGCAAGGTAAGATTCTCCACGTGATCCCACTCGCCATCATTGACCTCGGGCTCGCCAAGGATGGCTCTTGCTAGGGCGAGAGACGAACGCGCCATGACCGACGGCTTGGTCGAGACGAAATCCCGATGGTAAAGGGCAATCTCGCAGATGTAGGACGCCATGTGTTCCACCTCAACCTTATCCTGTTCCTCGGCGATGAGTAGCTGGGAAAAGAAGTCGACGGTGGGATGACCGATGTTCCACTCCAACGTGTTGAGAACATGCATCTCCATTTGGGCAAACATGCCCGCATCGTAGAGGCCGCAGCACATGTTGTTGAGTTCGTGGATTTGAGGAACACGATCCTTCTTATCGCCATATTTAGCCGCAATGAGGAGCGCCGCGCAGCCAACGAGCTGGTAGTGCTGCTTGTACACAACCCGCCGAGAGCAGTATCGGTCGAGGAGATTGACGGTTAGGAAGAGAGTCTCCGGTAGTAGGGCAAAGGCAGCATGAGCCTCAATAAGGAAGTCGATGAGGTATGGTCTCATGTACCACTGGATCTCACGCTGCATGTCAATCAAGTTGGCGTCCGGTAGTGTCTCGTCCTAGTCCCTCAGTGTTAGCTAGTGGGCCTATGAAGGTGCGACTGTACAGAGGGTCACATGCTGGGACTGGCTTGCAGACTGCAACAACTCACCTCCATGTGTCTCATGTGATTCATGATATCCTCCAGGTACTCATCAGCCGCAAGACGGGAGAGTTCACCAGCGATGATCTCCTGGCGTTGCCTGGCGATCATCTTGGCAGCTTCGCGGGTGCCCATCTGGGGAGGTTGCGGGGCGTCGACATGTTCGACGAAGAAGTCTGGATTAGGTTGATGCGCAGCTTGTTGGGGTTGGTAGAAAGCCATGCTGGGCAGGTAATGGCTTGAATGACTTGTCGAGATGGAAAGTCGACGCAACAACTGGCACAAGTGTTGCTGGCGAGGGCGAGAGTGTGTTTGAGATTAGGTGAAAGAGTGATCTTATCAAGTTCTCCAGGAAGCAGTTGAGGTCGGAGGGTTGGTTTGAGAGAGTGTAGTAGTCCGGTGGAGGTATGTTAAGGAGCGTCGATATCAATTATCCAAACCGGACAGGATTAGATTATTAGGATTAGAAAGAGCGTGGTGAATGAGAGTTGGGAAAAGAGTGGCTGAGGCTGGAAGGACCCTGAGGCAATACCGAGCCGTCGATGAAAAATGACAAAAGCGGCCGGGAAACTGGCCGTTTAAAAACGTGGTCGTCCCAAGGGTTCTAGAGAGACTTCAAAATTAGTCTCCAGATTCCTTCAGGCACACACGAATTCGCAGGCGAGACACCTGGTTAGGCCTTGACCCAAGGGACGCCACTGCGACTGTCAAATGCCAGCCATGGAAAGTGGCCTAGCATGGGGAGTGGGGAGAGTAAAGGTATGCAAAGAGATGGGCCAGGTCGTCTGGCATGTCTTCTGTAGCCCCCAGGCTGAAGATCCGGTGGATCGAGGAAAGACGGGAGGTTGGAGGGGAGGATAAGAGCTTACCGCCACGGTGAAAGTGAAAAAAAAAAATCAACAAGACAGAGGAAATGAGATAATTCCTGAGGCTTTGTAGGAGCTACGAGTTAACGTGTCCCACGAATAATCCTCGGGCAATAAGTCGAATGTGAATGTGGAGAAATGTGGTGGATTTAGAGAATCGGCCACACAGAACTAGAAGATCGCAGGAGACATAATTTAGAACCGACAAACGATCATCTCCCTAAGGGTGGTGGTTGAAGGATACCAGGACACAACATACCTTCACATTCAACACCCAGCTAAGGGGAGGAGAAGACCTAAGGCTGGCACACAGAGTGGATCATGTAGGATGTTCCTTTTAAGGTTGAACAAGCCCAAACGAGAGAAATGGCAAAACTGCCTTGTATGTCCAGTCCACTTCAGCTATCCTGAAAGATGCCGAGTTGCGCTAGGTGGAAGTTCTAGGATGTCCCTCAATTCCGCTGACAGGAGATACGACTTGGCGACGTGGGGTAGATTGCACTTCCAAACGACCTCGAAGAAAAGAAGGGATCGAGGCGGAACGCGGGTCAAGTGAAGAGGCGAGGCCGGAGTCGAAAGCAGTCGGAACGGAAGGGAGAATCGGAGAGCCGCTGTGGTGGTTCGGACCGGACGTGGTCGAATCAAGTTCCCGATGGTCGAGCCGAGGAATTCTCAAGGGGGGCAGGGAGGGTGAGGAAGAAAGGGGTTGGGTTGGTGGAAGCGAAGATACAACAGGAACGTAATCCAGAAAATCAATTCTGAATTCTTTTCTCTGTTTCTTCTTTATCCAGTTGGAGAGAGGATGTCGTTATCCTTTATATCGGAGGGAGAGAAAGATGGTCCTGTTCAAGGAAGGAACGAGGCCGAGGGGGGGTTTCTGGTGAAGGGACAAGCCCTGAGAATGAGGGGAATTTCGTTTCTCCCCTTTCCGTAATTCCCAATTCTCTCTCTCCGCAGCTAAAACAACGAATTGATGATTGACTGCCACCCGATGAGTATTAGAGACGGGAAAGACAGGCTTTGGAGAGAGGATGAATGGACGAGGGAGATAGGAGAAGGGGGAAAGAAGGGGAGGAGGAGGGAGGAGGAGGTTAAAGGGTAAGAGAGAGATGGAGACTAGAAAGAAGGATTGGAACAGAGTTGTTTTAACGGACGGTTTTAAGACAGGATGGTGCACCGATAGCCCTTGGATGGGCTGGGATAGGTGGGCAAGGTACTCTGTGGGTACGAGACGGGAGGTACGAAGTACGAAAGTACGTACTTCGTACAGTACCTGCCTAAGGTACCGTTGTATATTCCCCCAGGCCGGGGTCAGGGGCCGGGGGGCGTGGGTTTTTCTTTGTGTAGCCGTGGACGAGGAGGACGAGACTTCCCACTTTATCCTTGCAGGCCAAACCTGCAAAGCTCCTCCTCAGTGTGTGATGACTGCGTGTTGGTGGAGTGGCTGGGCCCGTGAGGTACTTCGTAACCAATACAAATCTGTTGGAATTGGAGGTACCTGGCCTGCCCTGGCGTATTTGCCCTCTACGAAAGTCGTGGATATCGATTTTGTGCAAGGCCACACACTTGTTACTGTAGTTGTAATGCAGCAGGCCAAGGGAAAGTTACCGTCATAGACCAGACGACGTTACAGGGTCAGGAGACGGCGTGGTTTGTCAGACGGATTGGCTTCCACTATGGGCTAGCTGCTCCCCCCTCAATGGTTGGTTAATTACGCTCCGAAAGACGAATGTCCAAAGCGAGGATGGGTGAGGAAGGGAGAGGCAAGCCGAAAAGGGGGAATACTCAAGCTGGCTTCTGTTTGAAGGCTTTCTCGTACTGTAATCCGATGTACCGTTCGGTGCTGCCTGAAAAGGAGTAGCAGACGGTAAACGGGCTTCGACTGGGCAGAGCGTAATTAAGGTAGTGTACGGCTCGTAATTATTCGTTCTCTGTACATGTACGTGGATGGGTACGTTGTACACTGGTCCGTCTGCTGGTAACGCACCAGGGTCGACTAGCAGCAAGTAACTCTTGGCTGGAGAGCTCCGTTCTCTTTGGTCCAGGCGGGCAGGGGGTGGCTACAATGGTCCTGGTGGGCAGGGATTCACTGCTGCTGAGAGCCAGGATAGCTGAGCAAGTCGGCTGGCGAATTGGAGGCAAGCATTCGACGCGGTCGTTTCTGACACCAATTTGGAAGCAAGGTGGGCTTTCGCGAAAGTCCTCTTTTCTTTTTCGTCCTCTCGTTCTTCCGCCGTCCTAAGAGAGTGGAATGGGCGAGGGATGGGGCTTCTCACGAGAGAATTTTCTTCAATTGTTCCCCTCTCGTTTTTCGCTCGTCTCCCGACTCCTCCGACAGAGGGGTAAGAATGGGGCAGAGTTAAATATCGTGGCAGCTACGGCCAGACAACGAGCGGAGGCGGGAGGAGAAATCGGGATTCAACAAGGAAGTATGGATACTTGGTGCGAATGAAACGGATCAGCCCCGGAAATGGACCTTGGAAAGGATCAGTTGGTACGGATACATCGAAGTGAAAATGTGGCTGATGCGACTGTTTGTCACTGGTGGACGAAGTCTAAGGTAATCGCAGAACTCCTTTGCCCAGGTCCCATCGCCCTGTTCTAGGTAAGATGAGGCTCTTTAAATATTGATGGCAGATGATCGCGACCTTCAGATGCGTCGCGGTTAAAATAAGGTAATAACATAGGACGGAAAATGGCATTGTTATTTGTTGTTTGTTTAGGTATCATGCCGTGTTGCATGGTGCTGGACATGCAATGCCTTGGACAATGACGGCCTTGTCTTCGAGACCGCCTTGTGCAGATATGTAGAACCACCATACCTAGGTAGAGATAGACGAGAGGTTTCTAAGGTAGCGGTCAGCCCGCCATTTTTCAGTTGCATTATTTATTACCTTAGCAGGTAGCTCAGAAGGTGTACAGGGAGCATCAGAGCCTAAGCCACACCCTTCCCGGCTTGTCAGCGGTAGTGGTGGCTGATGACCGTTGGTACCTTAACTTGCGATCGTCAAATGGGATAAGGTCTTGGCAGTACAATGCAATCTAGAAGGTACGAAGAATTTATACGTGACCTACCTGATGCACGAAGTATTTCTGTACTTCATACCTTAAGGTAAGCATTAATGCGAGGGTTTCATGGACCACTCACTGTACATATCTCACATCTCCACTCATTTGTGATCGATCTTGACGCGAACGTGACACGCTGCTGCACCTCAGCCTCTCTTACCCTCTCGGGGAACCCCTGTCCAGCCCAGAAAGGTCCGGTTAGCCCATGTCGGAGCTGCCTTCCAGAACGGCGATACTCGCAGCAGGAAGATGCGTCACGAATGGATCGGCCATGCATCTCATCATAACGCGACTTGTGCAAGCTGGTCTAGTCCAATGATGGCTGACTTTGCCTCTCCGCTCTCACAGCTCCAACAGTATCCGGCCAGCCTCCTGAGTATGCTCGATCACGTACTTTCGTACGAATATGAATCCATGATCGTGGAGAAGGAGGGGTTCGGACATTCGGGAAGAAACGAGATATTCGGTTGGCGAGCTATTTAGCGGCTCCCCCCATACATACCATGTCGCCTTTTTTTTTTCTTCTCCTCTTCTTTTCTTGCTAGGACTGCATCCATTGACGCCCCGTGCACCGGGATTGCCTGCCAATCATCGCGCTCGTACGCGCTTCTTCGCGGCGTCGCCAGAAATCAATTAATCATGCGTGTCATCGGGTCAGGCCAATACATATTTACCTCCTTGGCCGCCCCTGACCCTCCCGGGGGACGCCTGTCAATCCATACTCTTATTATACTCGGTGTCCCGATTTCGCTGCGGCGAAGGAGCTTCGCTCATCCTGTTCGAAATCGGCGTCAGATATTCGTACCCGCATCTGAGCCACGGGGACCACGCTCATGAACCGTACCGAGGCTTAGCTCTGTACCGTCGCTTGTATGGACGCTCGCTTTCTTGCTTGGCTCGGCTTGGTTGGATTTCTCAACCTGCTCTGTTGAATAAGGTACGGTACATCCCACTCTACCTCCGTCGACGGACCGTACGACGGATTCGCCTTCGGACGAGCGAGAGGTCGAGGGGCAACCCGTCCGCACCCTGGTCACACCACTCGTGGGGTGGGAGCTGGTCCACGTCTAGGCTTAAAACAGTACTTCGTACGCACAGCATCCCGAGATCGATGCATCAGATTATCAAAATCCGTGAGAATGCCGCCGACGAAAAGATCAATCAGTTCCTCCCTCTCGTCCCTCAACCTGAGCCTCTCTATTTTTCCTTCCTTGATGTCTTGATTGGTTTCCCTCCCGCCCTAATTCGACTGCACTATCTCGGCTACGCAGTGGAACGTCTCTCATG